TAAGAACCTCATTTGCTAAATAGTCTACACACTTAATTGACAGTGTATTCATAGTTATTTCTAGTAAATGTAGTTAGAAAATGCAAGGTCTGTAAATGCTTTGTGTACATTCTGAACGTCGCTTTTGTAGACATGGGAAGATCTTTAGATGGTGTCTTGCAACCTTCATAAAACTATAAGAATCGAGTTAATTGGCTAGCTTACGTGAATAGTATTCAGCGCTCTACTCACAATTCAAGGTCATCATTGAAGCGCCAAAGTTAAACCACGAAACACGAGGCCTAGGTGGCCTCAAATTCATCTAGCCAGTTTTTTGCCGTGTGCACCTAGATACTGCGGTTGTGCGGTCACGTACTCTCCCCAATTATGCCTCACCAACAACGCAAATTTTCACAGCGCTAGGGTTACTGTGTAAAGTACAACCCCAGTGGGCCCGCATTGTCGAGCGAGTGTGAGTTTTGGCACGACTAGTCGCCAGAAATAGTGAATTGCACTACCCCCCCTGGGGATGTCACCGTCTGGCGCCACACTCTTACTTTATGATTAATGCTTTAAAGTACCTAACAACGAAAACACCCCATCCTCCCCACGCACGCACACTTCAAAACCGCTTCCAAGTATATAACCAAATCTAGAGCTAAAAACCACTACAAGTGGTTTGCTCCACTTCAACTAATGTTTCAAACAAACTGAAGTGGTTTTCCCTCCTAATTCGTTTCACTTCTCACGTGGTCAAATACCATAACAGTTTGCCTGAAAACAGGGCTCTGTCACGCGTAGATTGGACTGAAGTTATACCTAGCAATAAATAGTTTATCTAGACGCTTCCAAAAGTCAGGTCCTGATGGGTTCTTAGCATGTGTTCTGACGCTACTGGCACATCTACTTGAATTAATTAGCCACGTGGTAATTTGGCACACGGGAGTGTGTGCCCTTTAGACAGCACGGAATTTTCAAAGTTGAAAGCGGTGCAATGCACCTGGCGAAACACGATTCAAAAGGCTCAATGATGGTATAATTTATCTGCTACAAGTAAATTCTGCTTGAAATCAACAGATTGGACCGACTAAAAGTGCTCAAAATACGGGTATTGATGCAAATCCTTTATTATGAAGAGCATGCGAAATGAGGTTGGACACAATTATGGAGTCTCTCGAGATAGGCGATCTAAAATAGACAAAGCACGACAAGGAAGTTAGCAGTTCCGAGCACGGTTGCCCTTGACACCCCGCTTAAACACACTAAGAAACTTCTGCTTGCAGGAAATAATGTAGTTGTACGGGTTTCAACTGCAATTAGGGGCGGATGAATACATCAGATGCCGACTAACTAGCACTGGTGGGGTGTTCACGACTCCGAAAAGTGTGGAACTTGTTTAAAGAACACCCACGCTCGCGTCTTTATCACACGATAATTGAAGGTCAACTGGGGCGAGTGCGTCCGTGAGAGCTTTGAGTCAAACAAGTGTGCTCACGACGGGCTAGAGGGTGTGCTTAAGTCTGGTCTCAACGCGTGGGCGAGGGTAGGTCTCCAGCGGAACCACACTGGAGCTCTAAAGCTGTACTTGAGAGGATAATTTATAGATATTGGTGCTTGATCACAGCAGAGCGATAACTGCTTTTGCCAACACTAGACTATAGTCTTGAACCGGGTTGACACAAAACCATACCGGTAATTCCAAGAATTTTTATAAAGAAATCACTGACATTTTAACGCAGCTTTTATTGGCTACCAGATCTGGGAAAATGATTCGAACAGGAGACCCAGTTTTTCCTCCAGAATTATCGCCAATCCGTTAGGAACCAATAAAATTTTTTGCATTAACGCGAAATTGGGGATATGGAAACAGGTGACAACAAACCGAGGACTAGGTGAATTTTAAATGATCACGCACAATAACAGACTTAGATTACTGCAAAACCATGTGATTAATTAACTGCTCATTGCATTTCGTCAGTTGTCACTTCATTACACGAGTTCCCATGGGTTTCACAACCATTACTGTCAAATTAAATTAGACTCGCAAGGAGATTTTAGTTAGAAGAACGAGGAAATCCATTATTCGAACACGATTGTTTCGGTGTTTTCCAGTCATCAGTCGAGATCATGCTGGTTCTCTTCCAGAATACACACAACCATTGCACATTTCGTCTCCAAAGTTAAATGTCCACTGGTATTTTCAGGGAGTTGAGAGCTAGAAACAGCCTACCCCATTAATCGAAACCCCGCCACCGATATCCAAAGCAAGCGTGGCTAAATGATGGTACAGCGTATGACATGACGGAATTCGGAGATCTTACCCACCCCCGTGCTAAGATTAGAAAACTTGAAAGATCTTGGAATTGTAGTCCAAGTACGTGCATATCTACCGCTACCAATGCTTAATACATCCACCCACCCACCAACTCACACGCACGTACACCCGTGTTAGCATGGTATGTGTGTGTGTGTGGGAACGAGAGAGAACAGTTCGCCTGAGAAAGCTACTGGCATTAACGATGATTCAGAAAAGTGGCCATTCTCGTGGAACTGTTTCTAAACCCAAGTGCAGCACAAAGGTACAACCAGAGAGGCACAAAATCGGGAGCTTTTAAAACCGGCGGTTGTGGAAGGTACCTTCAGCAAATGTGCGAAAGTAGTTTGAAAATGGAGTCTGTGCCCAGAAAATTAGTTCACATGGAATTTACATACACTAATTTTCATAATTTGAAACAGGTACTGTTGAGTGCGTGAAGCTTCAAAGGATTAGGGCAGGGTGGTTTGGTGTGTAAGCGCGTTTGCAAGCGCCGAAACTTGGCACATGTGTGAGTTACCCGGGTGATGATAAGCGCGCGCGATTATGCCTCTCGAACACCATAATGAGACTACACAGATAGATGTCTTTTGGATTATTGGCGCTGATCTGGAGTTTCATTGGAGCATTTGACTCGGGTTCTATGTTCTAGTTCTACTTATGGATGGCTGGGGGGGATATCTAAAACAGCTAGTCAAGCACCATTTCCGAAATCTGCAGTAAGATCAGGAAAACGTCGGGATCGTCAGTAAAAAGATAAGCACATGAGGCAAGGGATCGCAAATCCGTTTACCAATAGACTGTTTTTACGGAAATCTGGAGGGGATTCCGAGGACTGATAATTTAACTTCGCATTCTCGTCAGACTTGTCAAGCAGAGGAAACAATTCGTGACACCACCACCTCCGCCTCGCCTCACGTGATTTTTTTCTTTTTTTTCAAGCTGAAGATTCCGCTCACCTATTCCCAGAGCTTGTCACATTCGTGACTGGCATGTCGGAATAAATTAGCTTGCACAGCGCACATCAAAAAAGCAAAACTACTCATAGCTGTTTCACGGTGACATTCAAGTCAAACTCACGTGACTTGTGAATTGAGTGGGGTGGGATTTGCAATATTGCACTCTGAGAAGAAAATCTGCCACTTGATAGCACCGATGAATAGATTAGGAACTAGCCAGATATAGAGGGGATTTAACAGTGCCCAAATTGTTAATGGACAAGAGTTAGCATTTATAATAAAAGACAAGACGAGGAAATTGTGGTGGCTTTAAAAACGAAGAGCAAATAGAGCAATTTAAATCAGAAAAAACAGGATTTACAGAGGCGATCGATAAGACCCAGGCATAAGGTGCAAATGTGGTTGCAGTTTGATTTAAAAATGAAAAATTTACAACAAGGCCGTTCATTGTTAAAGCCACCAGTCAGAGCTAATCAGCCAATGGCAAAAAACAGGTGATTTCATTGAAGAAATGTCACGCTAAACCACGATTTCAGCAACGCCTTGAGAAGGGTAATGTGCCCACAAGGTGCCTACACACACACACACACGCACGTATTCACACACGCACAAGCGCTCGCCGTGCGTCTTTCTCTAAACGGCGTGATATGCAGTTCACAAGGGCAGCTCGAATGCCGACTGCAAACTCCAGCTAACAACCACTCAGATAGATCAAGACTACGACACAAGTGTAGCAAATGCAACGTACTCACAATCGGCTATGCTAAACTGCGATTTTGTAGGTTTCAGCACTGATCGTGTTTGGATAATGCCAGCAATTTGAGGAAAGGTCCAATATTTTAACCATTTTTGCGAGGTTGCTCAAAGTTGGTGTCCATTCAATGATAAACCCCATCCAGAACGGGCTGCGTTAAAATCCTTTATTAGAAAATTGCCTATACTCTTTTCCAACTTTTTGCAACTAAAATATCGATGACATTCTAAAGAAAAAATGTGTCGGTACATCCCCGGTAAGAGCAGCCTTATCCCAGTAGAATTGGTTGTAGTGTAGAAACAAATACAACCATAATATTTCTGAGAAAACCATAAATTTAAACCTATGTATCAGCCATGTGAGGCCTTTTTTGCAATAAGGCAACATTTCACACAGAGATCAAAAGTCTAGCTGGTTCATAATGTCACACGAATTCAACTCCAGCTAATTGTAGTGTTTGAAGTACTGTCTGAAGCTGGATTATGTTAACGAATACATTAAAGCAACCAGTATGCACAGTGATTTTGATACAAATGAAAAATTATTATTTAAATGGGAATAGGAGGAAATCCTAGTTACGTATTTGGGTATTTGGGTATAAAATACGGCAAAAAATTTGACATTTAATAGAAAGTTCGAAAGGGAATATGTTTAGTAATTCACGCAGAAATCATCACTGCAAAACCGTCCAAAGCATTCTCTGGTATTCTGGTGTTTTTTATACACCACGATACCAAAAGGAGCTAAACTTTTTGTTTTAACAATCCCAATATAAGCACCTAAATTCGTACCGATGAACTTTTCGTGGGTTTTGTCGAAAACGAGGTGCTCAGCTAGATAAAAATAGCTAAACTGGCTGCATAATGATGTTTTATCGATGAAAGCTGAAGACTTCTATAGCAAAAAAATTACTCGCTGCCTCTTTCCCAAAAAAATTATACATTTTGCATCATTTTTAATGAAAACAAGTGACCAGGCAGACAAACCTTCACATTTACGGCTGGTACTCGAAACCGCCTTGGTGCTGATCCTGTGGGTAGGGCGGTTGAGCAGCTGGTTGCTGATTTGTAACAAACGATGGGCCAGTTGTGTTTGTCGTCCTCACAGCTCCACCACCCCAAGATCGATAGGCGTAGAAGATGTCAATGCACAGCAAAACCATCATTAGTATCCAGAAAAACTGCAAGTTAACCACGAAACAATGATAACCAAAGGTTTTTGTGTTAACAGGATTGGAGACATGGGACTTACGGCAGAGGCTCCATCTTGTGGGGCAGAGCCATGTGCTTTAACGCATGCGACGATGAAGTTTATAAGCGCAAGAGCAAGAAGTACAATAGATGAAACAAAGTCCTAAAAGCATAATAAATAATGCTATTTAGGAAGCAACCATAGAGACATCACCATAAAATTTTAAAAAAATAACTTGTTTTTGCTCAGCCTGCATACAAAATAATTGTGCGTTGTTAGCGGGGTTATATGCAAACGTAATATATTCTACGATACCCAAAATATTTGTTCGTGCATCCCGGATCATATTCAAAAATAATTTTAATCACTTAAGAATGTGAGGACTTCATATTTGCAGTCAAAAGCTAAACCCATTTAACGGTATGTTAAAAACAACGTATGAAGCAAATAAATGGTGTTTTTTTACACTAAATAAATGTCAGATATATACACCCAGCGCATTGTATTTTCGTGACACAAACAGCAGTCAAAATAATGAAATTAACAATTTCGTTCCCCTATTAAAGCCATATTCAAAGTAAATTAACTTACAGCAAAAGGCCAATTTATACCAATCTTGTCTGTCAAGCTAAGAAGGTAGAACAAATAAAAGATGATTTCAACAACGAATCCGACGACAGAAACAATCACGAAGAATATCCGATAACTGTAGCAGCCCACAGCTCCGCAAATTAGTGTTACAATCAAACAAAGGCATATGGCTAATTTTACTAGGCCAGAAAAACTTTTGAAGTAAACTGTGTTAATAGGCATCTTCCTGTTCAACTAACTGAAATCGACGCGCTTCTGATACTTGAGGGTAAGGTCACCAATCAAATTGCAACGTGAAGCAACAAAACAAACGCTATCAATTTGAAAATTGTTTAAACTATGCACAAAAAGACTAATAACAACTGCTAATAAATGAAAACGTTTTTGAAAGTGTAATCAGTGGAACTAAAGCAGCTTTTTTAGCTGTTGATTGCAGCCTCCTCTGTGCTTGCTGTGGTCTTCGACATGGAAGTTGATGCCAGTGCTGATTTTATTTTCAAAAAACCAAAGTCAATTATATAGGAAAACTTAGCAATTTTATAAATAAATTTTACAGTAGCAACCGATCTATGAACAGAAAATTTGCTGATGGGTTACATTGTCGATTTTTGACCCTAACAGGTTAGCATCTCTTACAAGCTTTCCCCTCTTCGAATTAAATTAATTTGAGTACGTCAATTACGATCAAAAAATTATCAATGCAGTTCATTAATTCCCCTGATCTGTTGAGGCTATTTAAGTTGGTCAGCTTGCTTAATAAAATGTACTTTAGCATCAGATAAAATTGGAATGAGTGTAAAAATTAACTTTAGAAAAGAATGAAAAAGATTATATTAATTTAGATCCCTGCCAGAACAATTAAAAATAGGCGAATGGGCAGACCGCAACCAAAATTTGATGAAAAGGATAGTTAGGCATTCATATGTTTTCTACCTAATTTTTCTTTAAATTCAAATTCAAAATTTTAATCACTATTATTCTAGTAACAGCTTTCTAACTTTAAATAGGGCAGTTTATTGCTCCCAAAAGTAATTTTGCTTCTTAAAGTCACACAATTTAAAGAAATGTTTTCCTAGCCTTGGTATTGTCTTGTTTTTATCAATTTCGTCAATCTGACGTAGGTACATTAGGCTGGTTCTTCTACTTAGGATGATTCAGTAAATGGCTACTCATTTTTGCACATATCAGGATAATACATCAGTTGAATATTCATTGCTTTCAAAAATACCTTCATTGCGCTTTTGCACTGCCCGCTGAAATTGGTGTTTTGTCTGACCTCCAAAATTCCCATAATTTCGCATGAGTTGTTTTTGAGTCAGACAACATATCATCATTACTCTAAAGTAACAAAAATACATAATTTACAAATTTGCCTTTTGTTACACTTGTTCTGGGCGTAGTTTCGACTGCTGGACGTGAAGCAGAAATTTGCCAGTCGTTAAAAAGAATGTACAATTTGCATCCTAAACTCATTATGCTGGTGAGGTATTGTACTTACTTTTCATCCGATAACCTAGTGCGATTTTTGAACTGCATTAGTTTATCCTAAAGTACATCAATTATTTATGTCAGAATAATTTAGTACTTAGTAACAACGAATTATTTCGTCACCTTTTCCTATTCCTGGTCTCTGGTTAATTTCTTTAATCTCATTGTGGGATTGATCCAATCAATTCCTGCTCCCCTTTTAAGTCGATAACGTAATTTTTTTTATTTGATTTTAGTTTTTAATTGGACCTGCACGTTACATGCAAAGATGTTTATTGTATGGAATTGATTGCTTTACCATGAAAATGCGAACCTCGTGGAAATTTACTTGGATTTTCATGTATTTGCAATCTCGACACGAATTTAATTTTCAACACTTCATAACTACAGTTACACCACTTTTAAAAAATGGAAAAGATATGGAAACGACCAAAAACGCTTGGCCAACGTTGAGGCACTCTGTTTAATGGTACCACGCCGTAAATCAGGCGAAACTGCTGATCATCAGTTTTGACCCGTCGTACAGCACTCGGCTGAAGGAATTTGACCTGTCGATGGAAACAAATTGGAATAGCAGGGTACTCGTGAATCCATCAATTTCAGATTTATCATTGAAAATCCCCAACTATATCTAAATGAGTGATAGGAACAGCCGCCCAAGTATCAAGGTCACCCACATTATCTCCCAAATTTGCCCAGCCACCCACTTTAAGAATCGTAGCAAAGACTCATGTTCCCATTTCGCTGCAATCAGTTTTTATTCGAACATATCAACGGCTTGTTGCGTAAAATAGATAGTGCAATGTCTGCTCTGAGACTCGTCTGAGTAGATCTTGATACTTTCGAATGCCAGTGGCTACAGACTAGCTCAAAAAGAGCATTTTTGACGTATTTTTTTAAAGCTGAATATTTATGTCGTCACAAGAAGGGATTGCCTCGCACAATTTAAACATCAGGATTGATTCAAAGTGGTCGATTTAATCAAAACTGACCAGCATCGCTCTGGTTTACCAGCCAAACTTTTTGCGTTCGCTGAATTAGACATATTTTTATTTAACACCGTTGGGCTAGAGTCACTTTTAACATGGATTGCACAAACAAAAAAATTGCAGTGGGTGAAATCTATTTAGTCTGTGTGGATCGTTTTATCCATTGGCCGACGGCATAACCGAAACTGTTGCCCGAGCGTTAATAAAATCATGGTTACCGTCATTCGGTGTTCCCAAGTCCACGGTACACAGGTCACAACTTGCTCATTTCGGGATTTAAATCGCTTTCTTGAAGATAAATGCTTTCGTCCTACAGCCTCGTCGAATGGCTTAGTTGAGCGATTTCATTATCAGTTGACATCAGATGGCAAATGTTGATCTGGTTGATCAGTAGGCGAACTACTTGGAATAAGCAAAATCTATGATTCTACAGACTTCCTAATCACATGGATTTGTCTTTTGGTAAAATCGCAATCCTTAGGCAATTCGTTCCCTCTTCTACGCCTTCAGACGGGCATGTTCTGTTCATAGACTTTCGTGTTTTTGCAAATCTCTCATTACATCCTAGTAAAGGGAATGTTTGATGTTGAAATCACACGACAGTAGCACGAGTAAACACCTCTACGCAAACGTCAACCGACTATTGCCTCGTGACACATTTTCCAAAAGAAAAAAACGATTTCCTGAAGTTGTTATTTGTGGAAACCCAAGGAGCCTGCTACAGGTGACGTTGCGTAAATTTTAACAAGCACAAGCCGCACTGCGTAGTCCTCTCTCTCTTTTTGTTAAAAACTGTTCTACCCATGGTTTAAAAACTTTAACTAAACTTTTCCACTTAGACTAGGTGCGGGTGTGTGCTCCGGTCACCTCTCAACTCTTGTGCATAATTGACAGGGGTAGTTGCTTGACTCTATTCACGTTGATTGAGACGGCTTCACTGGTTTACTTCTCGTTAATTATTTAAACGTGAATACCTTTGTGCGTATGTCAAACGGAAGAACACATTTTAACTCTTGTTATCAACCACGCTTATTTAATGAGAGTGCTGGGAATCTCGCCATGTCAGCCGCACGGAATTTCAACTCCCCCTTCATTAGCTTGAATATTTATCTTGGAGTGCCCTCACACCTAGGTCCCGATGTTAGCGCATGTATGACTCACACATCCGAGGTACAAATACACACACGCAAGCCCCACACACGGCACGGTGACGCCAAATTGGTTGGGCTCTGAAGTAAATGTTTGTGCCCACGTCCCCGCTGGTCTTCTTCTTCGTCGGTGATATCAGCGTAGCGCAATCAGACCAGATCTAACTCAGTGGCTGCGGCGTGGTCCACAACAGGAGCCAGCCTAAGTTTAGAAAGTCATTCTGCGTTCTTTAAATGAAGCTGACACATAGATGAGCCAGTTATGTAGCCAGACCTCTTAATTGCTTTGTAGTAAATTGTGTTGATTCACTGTTTCCTCTTCACAGCGAACCCTATGGTCATGCAGAACCGTCTGATCGTTCGCCTCTGTGCTTGTGACACCGCTATCACCCGTTTTACTCATTTGGCCATTCAGGTACTTGCATTTTTATTAGTTCACCCTTACTCTATGTATCAAGAAGGTAACATTAGTCTGCACTACCTTGAATGCCGGCACTTGACAACAATGTAAGTGGGTTGAACTGGCAGTAGACGGTTATGGCCCTGCCATCTCTAGTCTTTCACTTGACTTCTAGGGTATCCGGCTAGCGGAAGCGGGCCGGATTCTACACACCGGGGCCCTGAAGAGTTTGGATTGGCAGTCGATGTTGAATAAGTTTTGTGACGTGGGCGGTAGAAAGAGCTCGCAGTGAAGACTTAGAGCCATATTTATGCAATTTTTGAAATTACGCGATTTACAAATTACTTTCGGCTTGCGTAAAAGTTATTTAGACTCCAAAATTGAAAGATTGTGTTTTTGTATCTATGAAAACCGGCGGCCTACCACCACATCACGAAACTTTTTTGTGCCCTACTTTACTTGCCGCCATATTTATGACGAATCGTAGCACTTTGTTTCCTTGATATATCAGGCTTTCTGATGGCTTGCTCCGGCCTAAACACCCACTTCCGCCAGTTTTACGACCCTAGTGAATTTATAATAAAACTTTAATTTAGTTAATTTAAACAAACGGCAGGTTTAAATAGAGAGTTGGGGAAAATTAACTTTATAAAGACCAACAGGGAATGAAGTTTTGTGATAAAACTAACTTCGGGTGCAAGTTTAAATTGCGAAAATAAGTCTTGAGATATCCAGCAAGATGGAAAACTGGCAAACCATAATTACGAGTTTTATCCTCTTTTATCCTAAATTTGGCGGCAATTTTCAATTGGGAAATACCTTTTTTAGACAAACAGCAACGCTCTCAAAATCGATAATGGATTTTAATGCTTTTCAACGAGACCTTTCATAAGCCTCAACACTTCTTACTTCTATTCTCAGAAATCAAATTCAAAACAAAATAATGCAAAATTTTATCACGTCGCGTCTTTTTGGCTGTTCATTTGCGAAATTTCCACTAACATGTTGGCTCTCTAAAACTTTATTTTGCAACCAAGGCCCTTTCACTTCCGTTTTGAGTATTTAACAAAGAGATAATTTTCATTCGTGAGTTCCGGCTCAAAATGTTAAATTACATTTCAGCAATCATGGCAGGACTTTCCAGTGTTATCCAATCAACATCGAGTAGACATGAACCAATGAGACGGCTGTAAGAGCCAATTTCGATCAATTTCTAGACAAGCAAGTCTAAAGCAGCCTCCTGTTTGAAGTGCGCATAGCACAAAAAAGCATTTTTTTTCGTAAGGCTTTGAAAATTAAACGAATCACCAAACACAAGTCAAATTAAGATTAACAAAACAATTTTTGTATGTTCGCGAAGCGGCACAACACCTTGCACCTGGCCTCGGATAGAGAAGAGTTTAAGTGGAGCCAATTGAAGTAAACCTGTTTTACTGTTCGTCTTTTTTTGAATTTGCGCACCAAAAGGGCGTGACACTACTTTACCACTTCCAATTTCTTGTTTGTTTGTTTGTTTGGTGTTTATCCTTCAGATATCACATGGACGTAAACAGGTGTCTGTTGGAGGTGCTTATGTGGACGCACAGATGGTTGGTTGTCTAAAAAAAACAATGTCAGACACACCTGCAATGTACTCAAACAAGACGACAAATTGAACGAACAGTTCAATTTCGGCATTCTGTCTAACAGATTAAATACTTTCAACAGTTCGCTGCAAAGGCTGCGTAGGCGGAAACTGTTTTAGCCAGAAGCGATGTGGTCAGGGAAGATTAATTATCCAAACCTGTAGCGTCGCAGTGATGAAAGATGACATATCATTTCTTTGCTGGCCTTATGCAGTCATTATAGTTTTTGGACAGTGAAACATTGCAAATTATCGTTCATAGCACGCAGATTATCAATGTTTACAAGGTAAATATATGTAAATTCGAGATATATGTACGCATAGATTCATGGCGATATAAATTTCGACAACAAACTGGTCAGTCGCGTGACGATAGATAATTTACTAAACGATGTCAGCGGCAGTTAATTGTAGGGTTTTAAATGTTGAACAGACTGCTAGCTAGTTCAACCGGAAGCCTTTATTAAAATGTTGCATGATAAACCCTATTAATGTCTGTGCCGAAAATTGTTGGTTTCAAAATTTCCAGCAGTTGAATCCAACTCGTTTTAATCGACCCAGGTCGGAAATTATCGATCGGCTCTGAGCTCACACCACCTCGTTTATTGGAACAAAGCAATTTTATCTGGATGGAAAAGGGCTTTAATTGACGAAGCTCTGTCGCGTCTCCTGGTACAGGAGGTTTGCCTGACAGGATTTGTAGATCATTAATGACTGCATAATTTAATGTGCCTAATGTCTTTCTGACAAATCATTCTTTGCAGTATTTGCTTCTAATTGCAATCATTGGGTTAAGCAAACTGCATCTTTGTTTCTGGATCACACATTAAACCCTCTGTGTAGGCTAAAATCAATTTAAGTGTTCTCCTTCCTAGACGGCAGCTGATTTATAGGCCGAACATCATTTAAGCAGATTCCCAAGGAAACAGTTTGCACCTCAAATCGTTTCTTTGGTGTTAAGGAGAAAGACGCCTGTGAAGAAGCCGATCATTTCCACGTACAAGATCTCTCTCAACTCACAACAAATTCTTTAATTGAGTTTTTTTATTTATCTTTAAATCAGAGCTTAACAAAACACGAATTGTTCTCTCTCCACAGTTTAATCTCGCTTGTGCGCAGGCAAGAGAAAAGCCCTTCAAGTCCCAACTTTAATAACTGTCAGTTTAATCCCATAAAGGAAGCGGTTTATTAGCGAAACGCTATCTAGGAGTAGATACCTTAACAGTTTGTGTTTGAATGTGCAGGTTGACTAACACATAAAACGAGAAGTTACGGCTAAGTTTTCTCGTCTTTTGAGTGTTTTTTATGGGTACTAATCATGCTCCCCTTTTGCTATCACGATAACCTGTTTAAAAGGACACTTCGTCAGTTCCTAGATTATCAGATTACTGGACACCAAGAAAAGTCATTCTCATTGACGATTGGGCCCTAGGACCAAGGAAGCAAACGAAGGAGGCCATTTTAAAGAACACCGCCAATCTTTGAAGTTCAGCTTAGAAATTGCACCCTTAGCTGGTCACGCCCAGCTAAAAGTTTATTGCCTTGACCCGAACAAAGTACTTGGCATCACAATCTGCCCACACACTCTCATTATCATCTCTTTTCAATTACGCGGGAGCGAAGTTTGTCCTGAAACTTGACGGTACCTCCACGAAATTCACGTGATCACACACGCAGAAATGCAATTCAGTTCGTGCGGACTCTTCAAAACATTCGCTTTGGAAGCAATCAAGTTCAACTTGTAAGCATCCATTGTCCTAGCTCTAGCAATAGCAGTCTCTTCTGGTTCGAAATCATGCTTCAGGCTATCATAGACGCGATAATTTGGTTACAAGATGGACAGAAAAGAGAAAACATTCGCCAGCTGCCCTAGTAGTGCTAAAGTGGAGGTAGGGAAGAGTGAGGTTGTTTTGGGGTTGAATTTCTCCTTGCTCGTGGACCAAGCTCCGTGTCGAATGTCAACTTATTCGTCGGAAACGCATTTTTCAAGACTACAGCAGCGGCACCTTTACCTGAGTCTGGAATTCCTATTTGTAATCCCCAAGCCCATGTTTATTTAAAATTATTTGAATTTCCATCTAGGCCATGTTTTCTGGTTAAAATCGCATTAATTTTACCACCATAAAGTCTAACAGTGTGTCTAGAACTGTCGCCCCACTTCAACAGGCATTACTGGCTAGTAAAAAGAGCAGGCTTGATGTTGATTGGTTGTCATTAATAAACCGCTCTTTCTCGCGTTCTGCCCAGAGCGCAAGTGCAGAGGATATAACTGGGACAGGTAGACTGCTTGTTTGAGCCTGGAGCTGTCGCTCACAAAGCTCTCCCGTCTCAGGACCGACCTCCTGTGGTGCCTTCGTGGACGTCGTTGAAGAAGCTGCATCTCCCGAACTGCTAGAACCCCTCAACGAGAACGCGAGCCATGCAGAATAACCTCCTGAAGGAGTACTTCGACGAGAGTGAACTCAAATTCCGGCATGTCTCGGCCGAACAGTTTGCCGACGTTTGGATGCGCTACGATAGAGACGGTGGGTTGGTAGCTCGCTGAATACATCCTTCTCTCGCTTATAACTTTGAAGTTCACAAATAGGACGGCATTTTAAGTACATTTTTTTCCAACCGCCAGCTTTACTAGCCACGCATGATCTTGGTTTCACAGAATCCAGTGATTTATTTGCAATTCTAACGATGATTCACGGATTAATTTATGGCTTCGCATCCAAGAAGTCGGCTTGATTAACTGAAAACAGGAGAAAATTACGTTTTAAGTCGATGATAGTTAGAAGTTTAATATCAGTTTGCAAACTTTGATGTAATTTGCAATTAAATAAATCGAATTTTAACAATTTTTAGGAAACGGGTACATCGAGGGTGAGGAAATGCACCTCTTCTTCTCCGAGGTCTTGGACGCTATTCTTCCAGACGATCTAAAGAAGGTACCAAAAGTTGTGATGTGTTACACAAATTTTCAAACCATTTAATTCTAATTCATGGGAAAGCCAAGAAGTAATTCTTAACTCGTACACCATTTCAAACATGCGCGCTGTTTAGTCTTAAACAAGGGTGGACATAATGCATTTCTTGTCATTTATGCAAGGCCAACTGCATCGCTATTCGAAATTCTTGCAACGAGGCTACGCCCCATCGCAAACGGCCGGAACTTCATTTTCTCAAAAACTAGTTTTGTTTGAATTAGCAGCCGCATTATCATGTCTGCCGCGTTTGAAGCCGACGGTACATGAGTGCTTTCTGAAGGTCATATTCTGAAAATTGTCTATTCTGGCGAAAATTCGGATTTTTCAGTTATGCAAATATTTTAATCAACGGGAAAATTCATACCTTTCACCGTCTATCGGCGCGATGCAGACAGCACGTAGACTTTTTGCTTGCCCTCAAATGTTTCTGTGATCTGTTGAGCTTTCCTCTCCATCGAAACCTCACCGCCCCCAAAAGTTCTGTTGCAGTTTTCCTAAATCTTATTAGTTTTTTTTTCCAAATGGGTCTTTTTTTACCATTTTAGTACCTTAGAAATCCGACTACATCAACATAAATGTTCCTCCAAGCACTAATGATAATTCCTTGTGTGAAAAAAAACGATTCTATCACCTAAGAGATGTAGTTCGAAAGTATTGATCAGCTCTCTTAAATAAGTTAGTTTTACTTCATGTCGAATTCCATTTGAAAGGCTCAAAGACCTCTTTGCACTTAGTTAAGGAACAATTCCACGGAATACTGGCGTTGACATCCAGATTGCTGAGAGATTTCTCCAGCTCTCAGCAACTGCGTAAAATGTTGTCTTGAAAAAATGGTTTCACGTTTCTCGAAGTAAGTTTGGAAAGATTAACAGATGCACTGAGAGCTGAAATCCACGATGGCTGTTGCAGATTTGGACCCTTTCACCACATCTTCCGTTTGATATGGCTAACAAGGTTAATGCAAATTTGGAATGGTAACAAAGTGGATCCTCTTGGGCCATCTCCACGGAATCGCACGTCAAACGTTTGCACGCTCCGAGCTTTGATGATTCCCCGTTGCATGTTTCACAAATATATTTGTCTATTTTTATTCAGCACATGCTCGACGAAGAAATCGACGACCTCATTCAGGAGCTGCGATCGAGTCTGGATAAGAACGAGGATGATCGAATCGAAATTGCCGAAGTATATGTGCAAGACGATTGTGTCTTATTTCTACCGTCTGTTAGCTTTTTTTCATTTGTGAATACCACTTAAATGATGTTTCTGGGTAGCTCAGGATAATTGACCAACATTTGACACTTTCGGGCGCAGTCGTACTTTCGAGACTCGGAGGTAGCTGTTAGAGTAATCAGCGAATAATCGATAATCGGATTTTATGAAAGCAAACCTCGCTCATTTCCGATATACGCCCCATATTCCCGAAAATACGGAGAAGACCCAGGCACGTCTGAGGACTGTTTTAACTGGCACAAAAAACGATTTCCATCAACTTTTAGCCAAGGTCGTGTATTTATTGCCATGCGTTCGGATTTTTCGCCCATTCTAGCAAAATCGGACTGTTTATTTAACCATTTGTAACGCGATGTCTGGACGGTTGTCCATCTACAATGGAGGCAGATGCGGAGTTAGATAACATTGTAGCGATTGGAATCCGTCAAAAACACGGTCTTGTTGACATGGTGAAATGGTTAAATGCTGGCCACGCTCCAAAAGGCACGGAGCTGCTGACAAAACAGCATGAAGAGCCCTCTTTTCATAGCCGAAGGAATTGTTTCAATTAAGTCATTTTTCTGCCTAAAAATTTGCTCAACCAAGTCGGCAAGAGTGGTGCTGTTTTGGCGATAAATCATGGACCCCGAAATGCTTGAATTTCGCTTGGTTTTGCGCGAATTTTGAAAAAGTCACCAAAACCTCACGAGCCAGTGAACAAAATGACCTCGATTTCAGACACGCCTGAGCGTTAAGAACCTCTTTTAATTCAAAATTCTGCAAAAACATTGTCCGATTTACTCGGATTTCGAACCCAGGCAAACGTTTGCTCGAACTTACCAGTAATTCATTCTTAGAAGTATGGTTTATCGTAAATGCCAAATGTGCAAGCGTGTAGTGTGCTGGGCGATTATTATTCTCTAGTATATTTTGCCAATTCACTGTGACAAATTCACACGAAATGTGAAATCTTAGTCATTATTTAAATCCAGTCACTGTTGCCTTACTCATGTAGAAAAACCAGTGCATTTTTACGATGCCATTTCTAAGTAACCGACTCTGTAACCAAGTAAATTGTCCCAGAGTTACCTTTAAAAAACGCTAAATTTTGAGTGAATTTGAACACTTTTTTGTAATGAACAAATGGCCTTGAGCTGTTAACTGATTCCACCAACATCAGTCGAAAAAGTTCAAGTTGGCCATGATAGCTTGCACCAGACGTTGTTATTGCAACTCTGCCGGTGGCAGCGAAAACATTTCCCCTTTCAATGTGTCCCGTTAATCCCTTGGAAATTTCTTTTTCCAAAACATCAATTATGGCTCTTTTTCTTGCGTTATTAGAAATATTTTGTAAAAAAGCAATTGTGTGTTTCAGTTGGCTCAACTTCTGCCTACAGAGGAAGAATTTATCTTCCTTTTCTACCGTGAAAAGTACGTTGAATCCAGTGTGGATTTCATGCGAGTAAGTGTTTGCGTTTATGTAGCTTCTGATTCTGTGGATTTTAAGTAAAGCCAGAGACTGGAAATGCATGTCCTTACCATTATCCTTAGTGATCACGTTTGAAAAAAATGTTAAATCTATGAAGCTGTTAGTAAAAGAGTACATTTCCATAGGTAGGGGTTGTGATAAGTTGGCTAATCGGCTTCGTCTTCCGTGTTTCCAGGTGTGGAAGATGTTCGACAAGGACAAGAGCGGATTTATTGAGGCTGATGAATTGAAGGTTGGTTGTCGCCTTCACGATTTCTCAACCCCCTTTGACCTTTTAAGGACTTTTTAAAAGAACTGTTCAAACACTCGCAGACGGGCAACGCCATCTCCGAGGACAAATTAATTGAATACACGGATAACATGGTGAGACGGTTTAAAGTAAATCACCATTTGTAAGTAATATATGTTATAAAATGTGCTTTTTTTCAAAATTTTAGCTGCGAATATTCGACAAAAACAATGACAAGAAACTGCAGCTCAGTGAAATGGCAAGGTGAATTTTCAATGCATTGAATTCTAATTCTATTGGCTGTTTTAAAAGCTTGACTATAACGATTATAGGTCAAGAAGGTCCAGCTCGAAGTTGATTGGTCATCCAGATGACCTTAATTCACTATTCTAGATTCTTTCAACGATGTGTGTTTTTTGCCTTTAGATTGGTACCTGTAAAGGAGAATTTTCTGCGAAAACCCTTTTTCCGGAGTCCCGAGAAAATCACTGACGACGACATCGACCGAATATTTAGCTATTACGATGAGGTAACGATGCTTCATTACACAATTTATCCAGGCAATTTTTCTTCGTCTTGGCTAAATTTTGCCCGGTTCTTAGGCAGGGATTATAGCTCTGTTCACTCTTCACATGATTTAGACAGTGACAAATGAGCGGGCTTGTGTAAATCTTAAAAGTACACGACAGTTGGGTAGATTTAAGGAGGTTGATAGTGTGAACAGTATTTCAACCACAGCTGTTTAACTCTAGCAAATGCAGATAATGTCACTTTGTACAAGGCTGCGTTGAAATATTCTCAACCAAGTCACCTGTTCAAACCTGTGTTAACAATTCAAGAATACACCAAAACAAGAGGTTGTGCTGAAAGTTGCATTGTCATGGCCAAAGGCCCGAGGCAGAGGTCAGGTGTGTGTTCAGATGCGTCCACTTACACCTTCGTTTAATTCTGAAAGACGAACAACAATGTCGCGTGACTGCAGTCGTGGCCGACTTAATAAATGTCACAAATCTCAGGGTTATTTGGGTTGTTTTGGAAAATCACGACATCCCAACACCCTCCTTGTTATACTGTCTTATTTTTTTGACTTTTTTGCACCTAAATTCTGTCAGATAACCGCATTGACAAGGTGAATTGGTGGTTTACCATTAGCAGCCTTGGATTAAATCAGAAAATCGAACCAAGTATTAGGAATGACAGGTGCGCGGTGAATGCTAAATTGCCAAACGACATTCAAAACTAATTAACACGGACTTGAGGGTTTCTGTCATCTCGATATTTGGTCAGCTAGCTCGTGGAAGTTAACGCCTTTATGAGACTAATCGTAGTTCTTGAAGTCACTAAAAGAAGAAAGTTGTTCGTACGATTTGAAGACAACATTTTCAGTCGTTCCTCGTCTACGCTGGTTCGACGAGTGCAGATTACTGCGGTGCAAGCCTAACCCATTTTCTTATGAACCCCCACGACAATTCAAAGGAATTGGAAAAACGGGCTGTTGGTACAGTACATCAATCTTTTTTTCCACTTGTAAAGGATCAAAATGGCTACATGCAGGACGAAGAACTTGCCGCGTTTTTCAAGGATCTACTTGATCTCACACAAGAGGCAAGTCAATGCCATTTTTTTCAAAAACTTTGATCAAATACCTGTTCAAGAAACCTGATGTCAAACCCAAACAATTTTAAGTTAGACGCTAAAATTGCATGAAAACTGGGCCTAGTTTCTCCCCCCAAGTGGGCTTGAAGGAATCCGTAAGTGTCCTGAAAATGTGTCTTTGTGTTAGAAACAATTATTCCGTTACGTGTGTTTTATATGTTAACGCAAGATCCACGACCGACTTCGCATTTTTCGTAAAGTTATAATAACACGATTTTTTGAAAAAAAAAATCCTGCGCGCTCTGGCCTCTCCAAGTTGTACAAGAATGTTGGTGAGTTTGGAAACAAAATTGAAGTCTTTTAAAAATTACGGTAGAGAGAATGCCAACAGTTTGCTTAATTAAATTCTAATTAAAATAGACAAGTAAAAACATGCTTTCTGAAACCGACCGCTCCACGTCTGAAGGCTTATTAAATTAATTGCGCAGTTCTTCGGCAACAGTCGTGTCCGGTGACTAGGTCCTAGCTCAAGACAACGTCCTCAAACATGGCAAAAACTGTCCATGATTTTACAAATATTTCCGAAATACTGATAAATTGAATAAAATTCAACATTTGATAGAGATTCCTTGACCTTTGCAGCAAAAAAAAAGATTTTCCCAACAGTTTTGTGTAAAAGGCTAAATTGAAGACCCTTCCTGAAAGCGAAAACAAATTGGATTTTTGTAAAAGCGAAAATGTTTGTGATTTACCACGATTTAGTTGACTTACTTGTAGAGCATTTTGCAAAATAGCATTTTGGTCGAATCTGATTGGTGGGCGTTTCTGCGTCTCGATTCTTGAGTCTGCTAGTGAACATGGCCCTAATCTTACAATTAATGGTTGTGTGGGAATTAAATTCCGCGTTGTCAGATCTGCCTTGTAAATTATCCCACTGTTAAAAGCCTGCAAGCCTGCTCCTTTCCGTTGATTTGGCTCGTGGTTGTGGAGACAAATTGCCACCCAACTTCACGATGATACGTTTCAAGACTTAAATCTTTACTCTTTATTTCTTTGTTGCGGACATTTACCACGTCTGAACCTTGATCTACCCGTCCTGTTTACCCCGCCTAGTAATTGTGCGAAAGCAAACAACACGTGTTTACAAAGTTCTAGCTTTTTTTCTGACAAACACGTTGCCTCAGTGTCGTCAGAAAACGTCTAGAACAACACAACAAGTTTTGCCACTCGGAATCTGTTGTGCCTGAGTTCTGCGAGGCAGAGAAACTTTGAAACATTCACTTATCCCCAAGAAACGGTGAATTTTGGTTTTGCAGTCTTCGAAGCATCTCGTTGACGATGTTTGAGTGTCATTGTGAACCAGTTGATTCAGGCTCGACAACAGAATTATTCCAGACGTTGTTTCTTCGGCTGATCCGCCTCCTCTCCTTCACGGGAGCAATTCCTGAACTTTCTTTGTTCATTGCAAGGCTCTCGAAGGTCGAGTCTTGATGGTAGGACGTTTCAAAGAAAGGGAACCTAAACATTGGTTTGTCTTCCATGCGTGAACTTCACGCTAGCGTCTGGATCGCCTGTATCTTCCCGGTCAGCTATTCACCGAACGTAGAGTAAATGATGTCAGCGCGTTCTTCCACGAAATCACCTATTATTGGTCCTTTTTTGCCGCCATGTTTTATTGGCTACGCTAGCTCATTTGAACTACTGTTGAATCGGCAGTCACTTCACGAGGGCCTTGAGATTTCCACGCGAATTTGGATCGAGGCACGAATTCAACTGGTCTGAGATATCATCGATCTTGATGGAAAGGCGATCAGTCAACTTGTGCTCTTTCCAAATCCGAAATTATCATTTTAACACCACATTAATAACACAAAACGGCTTTTATTCTTATGATCCCACAACTACACTCACCGGATGATTAAGAGAATTCACATTACCGTGGTTATGTGCGAAAGAACAGGGTCGAGATTGTTGGCCATAAATTTGAGTTGACAATCTAACTCGCTTCTGTTTGCTAATTTACTGGAAGTTATTTGAACTCTTTGATTTGTACCAGTTTAATACTACTTGCATCCTTAAGTAGTATACTGCATTACAAAATAAGGTGCAATGACTATTAGGTGGATGCAGAACTGTTAACGTGTTTGGTCATCTAACAAGCCTGGATTCTTGCTCACAGGGCCTAATTTAGATTGTTTAATCTCGAAGCTTGCTGTTGCTATGGCGACCCGTTTACGTGACACGTTCAAACCAACAGACCGTTTTATCGCACAAGCATTTACAGCATTTGTGGAAGGGGCCAATAAACTACAACTGTTGTTAATTGCAAACGAGGCTGCAGGATATAAAACAGGTGCGACTGGAACCGCCCAGCCAACCAGAGAAGGCTTTAAACTCTTCAACCATTACTACCGCCACCAATAAAAATGACAATTTATTTTTTTTAAATTTAGTTAATGACCTTCTCGTGCAGCAGTTTAATTCCCTACGTACATCGTTTGCGACCTTTCTCAATTGAACGTGAGATTTAATCGAATGATGATTGGATCGACAAAAATGTCATGACAACCGTTGTAACCTCACATATATTAGACAAACACCTGTGATTAATTTAAAGCGGATGTTGTGGGCCCTAGCATGCGGTCTTGAACCACGCCGGGGCCACGGAATTAACCCTGGCCCGATTACGTTTCCCCGAAAGCGGCGATGAGGAAAAAGACCAGAGAGGACGTGGACACAACCGTTTACTTCAGAGCTCAACCACCTTGGTGTCGTAGTGTCGTGGGTGGGGTTTGTGTGTGTATATTTATACCTCGGATGTGAGCGCAATACATGCGCTAACATCGAGGCCAAGGTGTGAGGATAATCCAAGATAAATATCCGTGTGAATGAGGGGGGAGTTGAGGATCAGCGCGGCTAGTGACATGCTGCGAAACGGGGAACCCTGTGTCGTAGGGTGGAGCGACCGGATTAAGGGGTGTGAATACACACGATTCACAGCACGCGGTTCGTGGAATTTGATGCTGTGACCTTAGATGACATGAGGGTAGTTAACTAACATTGATCATGCATTTTCGCGGCCATGCAGGGTTCCAAACCAGTGACCAATCGCTGCACTCATTTACACTCGCCGAACCACGTAAATACACTGTTTCATTGGCCGAGCGATTTTGTCTAAATTCTTCGAGTGACTAGCGCCGTCTTAAAACGAAAGACTTGTTCACGTTGAATTTTCACCTCTCAGCAAATTTGTGTTGTGAAAACTTCTGGTTTCCAGATATCAACACAGTCCGCAATGTTCCAATTTGTCAATTAAATGCTACACTTGAGCAGTCAAATTTTGTGGCCACTTGATAACCTTATAGCATCTGGCTTCTAGACGACTTTCCTTCTGACTCTCTGACTGTTCTACAAGAACCAAAGTTCCGCTTATAACGAGCATGCAGACACAGAAAGATGCTTGTTTGCATTTAAGGGTCAAGTGAGGTGTTTGTAGGTTTCATTAACCGTCTACAGTTACAATATTTTTGCCAACTTGCACACTCATCTTCAGGACTACGACGCCGAAGACCTGAAGTGCATTAAAGAGGCCATTCTGAAAAGCTGGGATGCGAACAGAGACGGCAAGATCTGCCTCGACGAATTGAAAATGCTGCTGCGCGTCCAACGCCAAATGGCTGACAAGTAAAAAAGCCGGTTGCCACCACCTCTCTCACCCTCCCCCACCGCCGATATCTTCCACCTGCGCATGACTACGCCCATTACCCCTATTTTGTCATGTAATAAAACGTCGATTACTGATACAACAGGTGCTGTCGTTGTCATTCAGAGCCCACGCCTGGCCCATAAGTCGATTTGCCAGGTATAAGTGTGGAAATTTGCACGCCCACCTAACAACCCCCTCGTTTGTTGGCTTCCATGCAATCTAATAAAACAAGCGTGTTAATTTTATAGCAGAGTCCATAAATGTTTTCGTGGAAATCGACCCATCAACGATACTTTAAAGGCAATTCATGTCATCAAAGTTGAGAGACACATAGTCAAGAATATCTCAAGTAAGATGTGACTGGAATCTATATGTAGGCACAGCCAAGTTTACAAAAAATACTAGACTACCAATAGGAACTGGGAGTGCTTGACCTTCATGTTTTGTTTAAACACAGCAGTTCGGTTTCTTAGCGTCACAAGTCAGCGCTGAAAATGCGTATTTTGGTTTGAATGAATCATTGATTGCTTCGGAGTAGAAAGTTATATTCAAAATGCGTTAATTCCCAGCGAGCAATTGATTGTGCTTTTTGGCGGGATTGGAGAAGGAATGAACGCTTAATGCACATGACCAGATTATTCCTACATATTTTGCTCGACTACAGCTAAAAATAATGGACATTCGCAAAAGCAGGAGCAGGATATCGTGTTGCTTTTATGTGTTACCGATGCAGCGAACCGTCGCCGTCCATGTTTACGTCTGCTCAGGCTACTAGAACAGACGCTGAAACAGCTTGCATCATTTATAATTACTGTGACTGTAGAATAGGGCGAGCCGATTCTGCAAGAGCCTTCGTTCAAAGCAAGGAAAACGTCGACGACTGCTGCCTAACGTGTCTACGAGCAGCTTACATCGACTACTTGTCACCCTAAATCACGATGGTAAGCGCGGTAGATTTGCATAAAACACCATTTAATTGATCTGATTCGTTGAGGAGCCAGTTAAGTTGTCTAGACATTCACAATCTCATTCTCCACAATCGTTTTATTTACGCGAACTGAACACTAAAATCTGATAAAATCGAATGAGCTTGCCTGAATATAAATGTCATTGAGGTGGTTTGAATACCGTTGAGAAAGACATTATGCACGTTTCCCGCAGACGACACCTAAATCTCCAATTTCTAATTGGTCGGTAGGCGAAATTAAACAAAATAATAGTGTTGTGTGAAGCCTCACATACGCATTTAAGCCTTTACCACCGTTAATTGGAAAGTTTATCGTGAACATTCGCATTAAACCTGGGGTTAACGTGGGGTAAAGCAGATTCCAACACAGAGCACAAAGTGAATGTGCTTTAAATTGACCTAATGTGAAGGTAATGCTGCATACATTAACAGTAATTTGTCACTTAAAACACAAGTACACACGTTTTTCGCTGCGCAAGTAGAGGCAGCGCCATGTTGAATCATCCATTGATTTATTTGTGTCAAAGTGTGCAGCCATGTTGATAATAAGATTGGTGCTAGGTAAAAGTGCACAGCCAATCCTCGCTCTGTGACTCTTTAAGTAAGTCATCAAAAGAGCCAATCGGAGAGAAAGACGAAAGTAAAACAGCCAATAAATCGATGGTTGCCCTGGCAGATCAATGAAGCCCAACTCTCGGTGCCTTATATCATTGCAATTTTTCTTAATTTCCTTGAATAAGCAAGTTTGAATATTCTGTACTTTTGTATGAAACGCTGTACTTTTTTATTGTACGCGAATATGCCGTGACAACACGGTTGGTGACGAGCATTAGAAATGTTGCAAGATGTTTCAACGCCTGCTCCGATAGCTTAGGATGCAACTCCTCGTCCCATGGGCTTTTTCTGGATCACTTTCAACTAACTTATTTCACAATCTTCTGTAGATAACTAGCGATGCGTAAACACCCAACCTTTTGCTACAATTTCCATCTAGTAAAGACTATTGCTTGTTTCTGGCACCATTTAAGGTGCAATCTGGATCCAATTGGTGCTGGTTAGTGAATTATCAGTTAAAAATGCTTTTCTTTCAATAACAGAGACACGAAAGCAAATGTTTTTTTCCAAATTTTGAACCTTACTTAATCAGGATAAATTGTCTGATTTCGGTTTGTGAAAGCAGCCAATGAGAAAATCCTCTCGAAGGCCATGACAATGCGACATCGCCGATTCTGTTGTTTTTTTCAAATCCAGGAAGACTATGATGTGTTTCACAAATAGCAGAGATGACAAACGCCATTCTACAAAACAGGGCTTTCCGCTAATTTGAAAATAAGTACCAGATGAACATGACGCAAATTGGTTTTTAAATGAACAGTTTTCGACACCACAGGCGACAATTTGAAACATTGTGAACTGGAACATTTCTCCGTAAAAGACGAGCGTTTTACGACTATACGGGAAGTGTAACATAAATGCAAGAATTTCTGGCAAGCACATGAGGCATACCATCAAATTTCTGATTGGTTAGGTTCAATCAAACTAATTAGTGCTCAACAAATTAAACGGTTGGTTCTTGCCTTTTTGTATAAACGATTCAAGCGGAAAGGCATGTGACAAGAAATACACTTAATCAATTCTTTTTAAAAAAAACTGTAGTTTGGGAAGGAAATCGACTGATTACATAATCGTCATTCTGGTTAATGCCTGTGGATGGTCAGATTTCAAACTAATCACATGGCTAACAAATGCGCTCAGACGAAAAGCTGTGGTAACTCGTGTTGATTCACGTGCATCCCCCCTGCTGCCGTCAGACATGTGGGATTGTCTGCGCATTTAACCCTGGCTGTGCACCACCGCACACAAACTCCTTTCGTTTATCAATGTGGCGAATTTTTCGTTTGACAAAAGCCGATTTTAACCCACCTAGGCCTCCCCCATGCAGCACACTTCATTCGCAGTTAGTTCTTAACCCATTTAAGAGTAAGTAGATGGTTTTCACGACTGCCTACGGCTACATTCTGCCTCTGATCAACGTTCTAGGACGAAGCTGTGCCGTCAACTGGTCGAGATCCCTCTCTGTAGTCATCACTGGCCAATCACCGATCACCAAAGACACAAATTCAAGAAAATTGAGTGAAACGCCATTCAGTTGATCTGTTTAAAGTGTAGGTTTGCGCGTCCCACAGTTCATAAATGGTTGGTTCCTTGTGAGCCATTTGTTGTCTCGTGTTAATTCAAGCTCCATTCTCCGACAAACCGTCCCCCTTTCCATAGTTTGTCTTCAGCCAGGGGAAAGTCCAATACTAATACTAACCCTGGATTATGCCAACACGATTCATCCTGTTTCACACATCTGAGCTATAAATACGCGCAAATGACACATAATAACAACGTTGTTCAGCTATCTACTAAACAGGTGTGTCGCCGTCATTACCGACCTCGTCATATTCTCGGATACCCGTGTAGAATAATCAAAGCAGTGTCCGCCGAGTGGTTCATAGCCCACTGATACTCTACGATGACACACTGATAGCACGTATTCCCTACTGTTTAGACTCAGAAACCATTCCGTGTTCTCATTTTCCTTGTTCTTTGCAATTTGCTTTAATCAAAATGTGCATTTGACAACACTGGTAAGGCGAGAGGATGCATAAGGCCTCGGTCACAAAACGTAATGGAGCCTTTGTGTTGAATTGGCCAGATTATGCCGCACAAATGTCCGGAAATAGAAAGACGACCTTGGTGTCACGTCTTTGTGCAAATGAACTATTCGGTGTGGTTGACAAAGCATAAATGCAAATGTCGGAATGGCCAGATAACTGGAGTGAGTAGCTGAGGGGTGTCAGCAGACGGTAAGGCTTGATTAACACGAATCATTACAGAGCATTTTTTAAGACCTACGTGGATATTTTGAGCAAGAATCGGTTAAAATAATCAAAGTACTGCACAAAAATTAGGTAGCTTTGTCTGTCAAATTAGCGAAGTGCACGACATCTGTTCTAGCTTCTAATTGAATACAACACAGCAAGCATAACGTTTTAAGTTTCTGGATAAAAACCGCGCGCGAATAAAAAAATGCTCTGTTAATTAAAACAAGCAAAGTTAAGTAAGATGAAGCAAAAGTGCAGAACAGACCGGCGGCAAAAAGTCCGTTGTGGAGAACTTGTATCTAACATACGGACAGCACAGAGTATTACAAAGGTTTTTTAGAAGTAACCGTGGGTCTTTTTACACTTTTATTGAATGGCTAATTTGTTTCCCCTCATTAAAATGCATCATAACCATTTTAAAACCTGGTCATTAAAAAAGGCGTTTAAATATGCAAAGCAAATTTAAACAAATTCCTGTTATAGTGCTGTTATTACATATAGGTGAAATTTATTGTTTTTTTTAAAGTAGGACATGGATTAATGTCAAATGTCATATGTGCATGTTTTAAAGTGACGTCAAGTAATATAGAATTCACATGCAAAGAGTTTAAAAGTGTGCAACGTTAAAAAAATATGACGTAAAATTTGCTCACACGCCTAATTAGCTGGCATTGCAGACACCTAGTGACATGCTGTCTTTGACTAACTTTGTCTCTGAAATCAACACAGGTGAAGGCGTGTTGTCTGTACCTTTCGGTCTTTCTACCAAAAATAAATATGTTAAAGTGCCGTTTAAAACAAATACACCATAACCTTCGATAGAATTTTAAAGAAAAAAAAGAAAATTTTGCGAATTCAAAAAGGTATGCGTGTTTACACTAATCGATATTGCGACAATGGACAGATTAAATGGAGGGTGCAGACAACTTACATGGAGGTTCCTCTTTGAATGTCTGAAACAGCGTTTATTATGATAACCGTTAGCTTATTGTGTAACAGACATATCAAGCGCATAATCCGTTAACTAGTCCATCTGAAATAGCCGCACCATCAGAATTGACTGCCAGACCCACGATAGAAGAAAGCAGAAACAGGCGAAAGCAACAGTACTCAATTCTAGCATATACAAAGACAAAGGGGTTTAGATTATGGAGAGAATGTTGATGTTGGGAATAAAAGAAGATGACATTGGGAAAACTTAGAGTTGCATGTAGGCCGACAGGCTTTCCTGAAAAAAAGCAGAATGGCGAAAAGAAGAAAGAAAGCAAGCAATAGGCCAGACAGCCATGTATTGGTCGATAGGCGCTAATTAAAAGTGTGCAAATTAGTTTGATGCCAAAATAGTCAGAATTATGCTAATAGATTTTCTTGTAAGTGTTACAAACACGCAGCTATCATTAACACAGCCATGAATAGGAAAAAAATTTAGTGGATAAAGCGCTATTTATTTTCATACCAAAAGAAGATGTGTATCAATCAGAACATGTTTCAGTCCTCTTAAGTAATTTATCGTTGACTTCTCATAGAACTTTGGGAAGCCTACGCAAAAAATTCTATGACACTGGTAGCAGGTCTATCTATAGCCTATGACACTACATCGCAAATGTGTCATTGGGTCTCGTGTTTACGACCTGCAGTTAGGAACAAGAATTATGTCATGAATGTGTTGAAAAGGATGAAGAAACAAATTTATAGCATAGCATTGATAAAAGGAAGTGTTAGCAGGTTGCAAATAATTTGAAAGCCCTCTCTTATATGTAACTCCAAAATTATCTGAATTCAAAAAATGAAGATTCAGAAAAGGTACTTGGTGGCATGAACCAGGTTTTTACGTTCAATTAAAGCAAATGAAATCATTAACGTTATGGTTGTTTGCTTGCAGCGATTACCAATTATAAATATTCAGAGCCTTTTTTTAAAAATTGGCAGTTAAATAAATTTATGCTAAGGAGTTACGACTTCCTTAAAAAGCATGTTGTTCGGATTTCGAAAATTGGATGCGATAAATGAGCCTGCTATTCCCCATTTATTTTAAGGATTAATAACTTCTTAATGAAAAACTGTTTAGATGCGAACTCTTTTATATGCAAAATTAAAGACACATAATGAACCTTGCTGAAAATTTATTTAGACCTCTCATGATTTTCTATGAAATCTGATTAGCAAACGTTTGAATATGAACCAATTAGCATGGTACACTGTTTTGTGTAGCGCCGCAGTTCGTGCGCGTGATGTCCGGTAATTCAAGTTTGTCGTTCCGTTAATTTTTCCTATAAGTTTTTACCTTGTATCCGGACACCAGTCTTTTTGTATTGAATTGTGTTGTATATAATTAATTGTGCATATATTTATCTAGATTTCAAAATTTTTCTGTATTATTCGACGAAAATTATATTTTCTAAAGTAAATTTGCCCGAAAAATCGCTCTTATGGAGGCCTTGGTGTCCTGCTCCTTTTCTAAGTTACATATTTCAAAATTTGTAAAATCAATCTATCGGTGATCGCATTCAGAATATTTTTTTAAATGCTTTTATGTGATTGTATTATGCTAGTGTTATTTTTGGCTAAAATTATTTCGAAAGTACGTAGCACACTCCCTGTCTGATTAAACCAACAGCATCGTTGACATTTTTGACGTCATGTCTTGTTCACAATTTATTTTAAAGGCGCGGTTGTATACACTATAAGAACTAGTGGTGTAGCCGCATATTGCGCTGATAAGGGCAACGCTCTCAGTTTAATTGTCTAGTATTCGTAAAAGTGCATGACACCAAATTGGCAACAGGTGACGCAAATTTGTCCACAGTTGAATTAATGGGTCATCAATTTCTAAGCACCTTGTTTGTTCAATTCTCTACATCACAAAACATTCTTCGAGGCATAACAAAAGCATCCCACTTGTGCTAAAACCTGTGAACAGACAAGGAAGTGAACGGTGTTTTTTTGCGATTTTATATACTTTTTTGTATAGGTAGGAAACCGAGGCGTGGCGGCGGCCACATGTTTAGCAGCCCCGAAGAGCTGATGCTCCAGGCTCAGGTAAGTAAAACTTTACATCACTTTACATGCGTACCACGTGTGCAGTGACGTTGCACCTTAGTGTGCCACGTAGTGGGTTAATTTGACGCTAACCTCCGTGTTTTTTTCTGACAAAAAGTTGTCATTTTACAACAAATTGAATTCTGCTAGTTTGTCTCACCCAGTGTTACGTTCGATTATCCAACATTGAGATATCTTCCACACGGGCAAGCGTTACGTTTTGCCCGTAACTGAAACCACACACTCCCTCAGATAACCGGTGCCCCCAGATCCCTTATCAGACGCTAGCCACTCCACCCTCCCACGCTAATGTAAGCCAAAGCAGGGCCTAGTGTGAAGAGCTTTTAATGCCTCAGCCAAGAGCCGAGTGATCTGTGTGAATGAACACCCACTTATACAAGTCAAGGATAACCTTGACCTGATGGATCAAGGCGGATTAACACGGATGGGGCTGTCAGTAGTGGGGCGCGGATGACTCACTCGCTGAAATGGCGTGGTTAGGCTAACTGTGACGAGCCGTCCTGGGGAATGCTGGATCTCCAACAGCAAGCGTTTTTCCTGATTCCGGCTTATTGTTCTTCTTAGTTCTTTACCCTGGTTTCTGGAGAGGAATTCTAAAAGCGAACTGTTTGGTCAGATTTCCGTGGCATGCGCATAAGCTAAACATGCTTGACTTCCGAATTCCCACGGATCAGATTGAGTGATTTTTAGTAATATACTTACACTGAAGTAGGAATATGTAGCATATGTTTTTAGAATAGACTGGCATGTGTGGTGTTCAGTGCCACTGAACTGACGATAGTTCCGTTCGGTTTGCTTCTTTAACACGTATTTTTACTTTCATTGGCAGCGCGCCGCTGAAGAAGTCGATCGCGTAGTTGAGTCTCGCATTTCAGAAGAGGATAGTGAAGATAGCGAGGAGGAAGAAGAGGAGGGTGAAGTAAAGCCATGCGGTGTCTCCCACCTAATCGAAACTTCCAATCCGAATCGGACAGGCAAACCGCCGAATCGTGACGATGCCCCTTTATCTCGCAAGGAACGGTACGCAATTTAGTCTATTAGCCTTCTTTCGTTGTCCTTCTTTCTAATTGGACGATTTGTCTTTCCCATCTCTAGCGAGGCACTCCTATTGGCCACCACGGATCCGCTAAAGTTGAAATCAGAGGCGGAGTTGGAGAGGGACCTGGCGCGTCTCCGGATGGTTAGGAGGAAGCGCGAGAGAGAAGAGCGAAAGAAAGAGGAGGAAAAGAAGGGTGAGCTCCTCTCTCCGTGTCGATCGATAGGGGGATTCGCAATGATTGTCGTTTCACCTCCTCAGCAGAATACACCAAAATGCGTCACACGTTGTGCTCGACCTACTGATAACCAAATTAAGTAGCTACGCGGGAGGTTTTCGTGAGGTAGTCAATAATCGGAAACTCATTGACGATTCAAAACTTGGCTGTCGATGATGCAAAATTTGCAAAAATATGTAATTTACTCAAAACGCAACCTTTGTACAAAGGTTGTGCTTTTATTTCGCGCCGCGAACCTGCTCACACTCATCTTCCGTTCACACAACTGGTCTAAAAATAACTCACAAGACGCGTTTTTTCGCGTGTTGCTTTCCCAGATCTCTAATTAATTCTGCACCAGTCGGAATACTCTTCTTTTAGCAAAATTCTGTCATCCCGTGTCGTTCGCTCCTGGTCCAGAGTTCGCCCTCCCACTGCCAACTCCTGTGTCTCTTTTATTAATTTTTTTCGAGAAATCTCCGCACGTATTTGCTTAAATTGACCATTCGTAACCAAAAGGACTGAAAAAAATCACCCTAAATATGTGTTTGTTGCAGTTTTTGTGACTTTTAGAAGTCCTCAATGTGGCGTCGTAGTCATCGCCGTTCATTGGCTGGATCAACTGAACTAGGTGCTGTAGTGTGTGCATACAAGGTTGTGATTAGTCGTGACGCACGCTTGTAATTGGTCGGCGGAGTGTAGATCAATCATGGCGCGCACTCTTGTTGGTGATGGCCATTACGGTTTGGATCAGAAGTTCGTGTGTTTTGTCGAAAGATTCCGTCACAAATTTCGGACTTAATTAGGACTTTGCTTTTCACAAGAACCTTAAAATCCCCCTACCACACTTTATGAAGTGATTTGAGATGTCTCCGTGTAGTTGAGTTGGTGTAATTGGCGTGTGCTTGACGCTGTACCAGACGTCTGGTCCATTGCGCTGTCTCGCGTCAGTCTTGTGTCGAGTTTCGATAGATCCGTCAACTTTTCGCCTTTTTTTTCCAGCCGCTGAAGCCGCCCGTGCAGCAGCTCAGGCACGAGCACAGGAGCGTCTAGAGGCGCTGAAGAACAAGAACAAGAAGACCGGTCGGAAACCGGGAGCAAAAGTTGGCAAAAACGCCGCTTCTCAGCCCTCCTCTGCCGCACCACCCCCACCGCCGCCGCCTTCCGGTGAACCAGGCGAAAAGTGACCCGCTCTGGCGCAGATTTCAGCCCCTCCCCGCCCCCCCGCAACCCCCCTCCCTCGGAAGCCACCACCCCATAGTCTAATTGTGACTTTTATTACATTGGCTTTCTGACTAGGCTGTCAAATTTTTCATAAATGCAGTCATCAGTTTCGTAGATGGCTCTTAACTCGAAGTCCATCGCCTCAACCAATAACGAAGGGGGGTGGAGTCGGTGTTGGTGTGCGCTGATGCACAGCAAAAGCATTTGTCCATCTGCGCGTTTTCGGCCAGCTACTCATTCACAGTTAGTTCATCTCCTCTGTTAATCACCATTTCAAATTCCGCGCGCACACGATGCCGTAGATTTCGCCTCGATGTAGTCCACCTACGAAAAACAAACTTTCGTTGCCTCGCCTTGGTTAGGAGGAGGAAAAACCCCGTCGAATTTGATTGGTTTTCTGAGCAGGGCTGAGCGTCGCTCATTGGTTGGCACGACATGAGGAGGGGATGCGGTAGGGATCAATTGTAGTTGAGGATTCTGCTGGCCGCACGCCTCCTCGCGCCATCCCATGTAAGCGCTTTTCTTAAATGAAATATTTATTTAGTGGACCCGGGTTGTTCGAGTATGTTAGCTTCCTTTGGTTGAACGGGGTTCTTACGATTCACTTAGCGTCCGGTTAAATTGTGTTGTACCTAAACGTTTTCTGGCCTTGTGTTGTGCTGTGTTTATTAGTCGTCTAAATTTATCGAAACCATCTCCACATTTTCTTAAGTTTCCTGGTAAAATAAGGAGATTCTTCTCGATGATTATCCCTATCTCGCTTAGCTGTTAAAATAAAACGGGATGCCGTATGCCATCAAAGTAACTGACTATTTTGGGGTTAGACACCAACCAATGAGAGAGGTGAAGGCAGTTCAAGGTTGAGCCGATTCGGCCAATGAGAGAGAACAATGGCGACTGACAGTCGATTGGCTAAGCACCGAAATTTGTATGTGGAATATGCGGTCGAGCACCATGAGTATGGCTCGACAAAATCGCATTCCCGAATGTTCATTTCGTATGTAGACCAAATTACTTTTATTCAGAAGTACGCGCAGTGATTATACTCCAAGACTAAGTGGGGTTAGTTTGAGTTGCCACGGTGACAGCTTCTCCAACCAATTGCCGCGTCAAAACAAGTGTCAACGTCAAACAGAGAAGGCACAACGCGAAATCAGGTCGTCTTTAAAAAAACGCCAACCGATTCTGGATTTTTTTATTGGCTAAATTATTTGCTCAATAAATCAGTTGCTTCTGTGAAGACGTTTTCGGGATTGACCGTCTCTTAGGTAATGATATGTAGAATTTCAATTAACTTCCACAAAATCATAGGAATTGTGCTATTTAATTCTGCATTAATTCCTTTATTTAGTTTTGAAATTGCCTCGATAAACAGGTAGGATTTAAACAAGCACTAGTTGAGCAAATCTGATTGGTTGCTTTAGGAGATCTATCACTTCGTCGTAGTCCGTAAATCGTCAAATTTGGCTGGTCGAACCGATTCCTTTCAAGGAATTCTCGTCTTTTAAGTTCTGTTGGGTAGTCAGCATCAAAAAACGTTAAAATAGGATCTGAGCAAGTTAATTTAAATCAGAAGATGCTCAAGTTACTCGCGAAATATGTTAAAAGACGTTTCTACTGAACATAATTCTGGATATTTCCTTTAAGTAAACAAGCCACGCAATCTCAAATCAGCTTGCAATGCCCATATCTTTATATTGATAGTCGATAGAGCCTATGGACGCGCTTTACTTGCCTCCTCATAACATAAGGAAGTCGGTTATCGAAGTTATGAGAATTATTGGTGCTGTAAAAGTGCAGTTTTTGTGGCAAGTGGAGATGGAAATTGAAATCCGTTTCACTTATCTCGGAAATCTTACGGTCTTGTTACTATTCTCAAGGACAGAATTTGGGTGATAAGGTGGGTGACGGTGACAGTTGGGCGGCTTTTCCAATTGCTCAGCTTCGGAAGAGTTGAATGTTTTGACAAAAAATCTAAAATTTGCCAACACACGAGTACTCTGCTGCTTCCACTAATTCCATATGGAGGTCTAATGCCTTAAAAGGAGTGTGGTACGACGTGGAAAAAACTGACGACTAGCAGTTTTGCTCGACTTAAACAAATTACCGCGTTTTCTTTTAATTCGACCAATTAGAGGTCGACATTTTGGGGTGTTTTCTAAATCTGACCGTATCCTCAAAGTTGCCAAACTGGAGTCCTGTAATACCTTGTTTTGTCTTGTCGCTACGGAAGATAACTGTTAGCATATGTGAATCCCTCCAAATATTCAAATAAAAGAATGGTTGACCAAATAACCTATTAACCAATTATTGGCGTTTGTAAACCATCCAATTAGAGTAGAACTCATCAATTAATAACCAATTATTGGGGTTTGTAAACTATCCAATTAGAGTAGAACTCATCAATTTTCCACGTCGCTTGCAGCTAATCGATATGGCGATGACTCATTGATAAATTTATTTTTCTAATCTACCAGTAAAATCATGTTGCCTGCATTAAAGTGCTTGCGAGTTCTGTTCAATACGAGAACCAATAGGTGAAGAGCACGTAACAAACGAGTAGACTGCAGCGATGACAGGTTCGACCAATAATCGTTATCTGTTGTAGAAACACCCCACACGTCAAGAGAAACGCCACATCGTCATGGCGGCCGTCAACATTCCTGGAATGGTTGGAATCGTCGCCTTCTACCTCTTCATCCTGGCAGTGGGTATCTGGGCGGCGAGGAGGTCGAAGAAGACGTCAGCGAGGAACCACGCGAACGGCACCATGACTGACTCCGAGGATGTCATGCTTGCAGGCCGCGACATCGGTCTTTTTGTCGGCGTCTTCACCATGACTGGTAAAAAACGTCTCCTCCGTAGCAATGCCCTCTGTTTTAAGTTGACTTACTGTTTGTTAGTTACCGTGCGACCTTGAACTGTTGTTTCACTTGAACACCAATCAATCCCATAGCAATGTCAGGTACCAGTGATGTTCAGTGATTAAATACTGGTTTCTAGATAGTCAGTCCCATTGTAAATCTACATCACATGACGACTAAAATACATAACTCATTTTAAGGGAAGTTCTGTTTACAGCTGTTTCCATTCTTGCAGCCACGTGGGTCGGTGGAGGGTACATAAACGGGACAGCCGAAGGCGTCTACGACCCCAAAAAAGGCCTGCTTCTGTGTCAAGCTCCAATTGGATACGCGCTCAGCTTGGTCATTGGTGAGTAAAACTGTGGGAATTGTCTGTGCATGCTTCAGCTTTGCCCAACCAATGGGAAACGCGTAGTTGAGGGTCGGTTATGTGCATTGTAGTTTTGCATTCTAATGATTTCCAAGTGTGTAGAATATGCGTCAGGCACATGATCTATTTGCGGACAGGTTAGTTGAGGTCGATAGTGGCTGATTTTGTTGGAAACTGTAACTTTCCAAAATACGTAACTTATCCATTAGCAAAGATGATTGTTTTAGCCTCTATCAAGCATCACCGTCCCATTGGTCAAGTTATTTGCAGAAATTTTGATTAGTTGAAGGTCAAGGTCAGATCTCAGAATGATCACATTCTACCTTGGAAACAGTCGAAATGACTTATTCTAGGAACGAATTGGTTGCATTCCACATTGCAGGAGATCGTGAACAATGTCAGAATTAGCTAGATAGACCCGTAATTTTGATAAGTTGTCTTGATGCGGTAAACACCAATCAGGTAACTGCGAATAAAAAAATCACAACAGTTATTGGTTAATCCATGCGGTCCTGTTTGCAAGAGGAACGGACTTAAAACCAATGGGAGAAGAGAAGAGGAACTGTAGACATCTGTCAAGACTAGAGCTGATTAGTTTACAGTTAGACCAACGTCTCCTTTTTTGCGATTTAGGTGGTCTGTTTTTTGCCAACAAGATGCGTTCTTTCGGCTACGTGACGATGCTGGATCCACTTCAGGCGAAGTACGGCGAACGAATGTGCGGCTTACTCTTCATTCCCGCGATGCTGGGAGAAATATTCTGGTCGGCTGCCATTCTCTCGGCCCTGGGTAAGACTTCATTCGAATCTCCTAAGAGCATTCACCTTCGGTTTTGAACGATTTGACGTTCCCTTAGTCCAATGGGATTGATTTATCGATTATTAGCCGCTAAATAACCCGTGAAATAACATTTTAATTGGTCGCTTGCCGTTAGCGTATTGGGTGGCAAGCAGGCGTGCTTACTTCGTCTAGCAGAATAACACTGAAATTCGAATGATCCAGATCGCTTTGTGGTTCTGTTGATAGGATCGACGATCGCCGTGGTGATCGGCATTGATGGCACCATTTCGGTGATTGTCTCAGCGTGCATCGCCCTGCTGTACACCCTCTTTGGCGGTCTCTATGCTGTGGCCTACACCGACGTGGTCCAACTCTTCTGCATCTTTGTTGGATTAGTAAGCTGCGGACCACCACATCGAAACATCAATACTGATTTGTTTTAAGTAGACTCACGTCTTACCTTTATTGTGATAGTGGGTTTCCCTGCCCTTCGCAATGACCAACCCGGCGGTCCACTCCATCGCCGCCAACTCGACCCGCTGGATCGGTTCCATAGCTGCTCAAGACGTCGCACTCTACATCGACGATCTGCTGATGCTAACTTTGGGTGGAATACCGTGGCAAGTCTATTTCCAGGTAAAGTTTTACCCACTCCGATTGGCTTATCTTGCTGGCTTCGACGGTTCCCAACATCGGCTACCAATCAGAATTTAGGGGAAAACAAAAGCAATTGAAGGCAATTTTTGTCATATTAATTTTGTTACTCGACTTTGTTATTTTATATACCCCGTGCGCCGTGTTTGTAGATATTCATGTGGGGTTTCTCTACTTTTAGCGCGTTCTGTCAGCTCGAACTGCACGAAGTGCTCAAATGCTTAGCTACATGGCGTCCTTCGGTTGCCTAGCAATGGCCATTCCACCAATTCTGATTGGTGCAGTAGCAGCAAGCGCAGGTACGTTGGTTTCTACTCAATCAATGGCACGTCGCCATCGTTCACCCTATAATCTGCGCAACTAGCTCATCCAAATTATAAACACACCAGGAGTTTTCAATCGCCAAAACGGTATTTTGGACATGCGGTGTCCATAGGTTGCTAGTGTGCAGTTCATTGAATTAAACCGACCCTGGAAGAAAAACTGACTTCATCCACTTTGTGCATTAGATTGGCAGGCGGCTGGATACAACGGCACGATTAACAATGTGATCAAGGAATCAGAGCGCAAGCTCGTTCTGCCTCTGGTGATCCAGTACCTCTGCCCCCCAGCCATCTCCTTCATTGGACTGGGCGCCATCTCGGCCGCCGTCATGTCATCCGCCGACTCGTCCGTTCTCTCAGCGGCCTCGATGTTCGCGCACAACGTCGTGCAGCCACTGTTCTGGCGTGGCGCCACTGAGCGTCAGATCATCGTGGTGATGCGCGTCAGCATCTTCGTCGTTGGCGCCCTGGCCTGCGTACTGGGCATCATGATAGAGTCCATCTATGAGCTCTGGTTCCTGTCCTCTGACCTCGTCTACGTCATTCTCTTTCCCCAACTCGTCTCGGTGCTGTTTGTGCCGTTCACCAACACTTACGGCTCATTCACAGGCTTCTTTGTGGGTAAGTGGCCCGAGAATGCACAAACATGCCCCATTTCTTGTGACTGATTAGCCATTGGCTAACAATAAGCTGCCCAGGCCAATCAGATCACAGATACTGCAGTGCAGATTTGCAGCCAATCACAAACGCTGTTTCACGAGCTACAATGCATACTTAACCCTCACACTGGCCTAGTGGGTCACGACTCCTTTGCAATTTAGCCGACTGTAGCCTATTTCGATTGATTGCTTTAAAATCAAGCTCCTTTGTCGGTGACCAATAAACGCTTGATCTGTTTGGTAATCCCACCAAATCGGAGGCATCATTTCTGTGGCGACAATCAAGTTTTAGTCCGATTCCACCCGATCACCAAGCTCGTGCAACATTAGTTATCTGTTAATTATTTTAAAACGACTTAACTGCCATCCTAATTGGTAACTCTTTTAAAAAAAACATTAGAGGGAAAATCGCAAACTAATTAACGACGGTTCAAAGCCATCTTAGTCGTCTTACGGTTGCTGTTTGTGTTGTACACAGCATGAGCCAGCACGCTGGCCAAATCTGTGTGAGTACGATATTTGCAAGTGACATACACGATTTGCTAGCCAATTAGCGCCAAGACATTTGTATGTCCTTTACAAACCTCGCTATCTTCATTTAACGCAAGCGAATTGGACGCGCCATTCAAAATTTGCCGCTGAACCAATCAGCGCTTGAAGAAATGGGTGCAGTTTGGGTGCGTCGCCTTAAACGCAACGATGGCAATCCGACAAATAGTGGAAACACTGAACCTGTTCCCCTTGGACAGCATTAATGATTTTGAGGTGGGTTAAGACTGTTGTGGGCCCCGCCATGTGGTCTTCAACCACGCCGGGGCCACTGGATTTACTCTGGCCAAATCACGCATCCCTGATGCCCATGATGAAGAAAAAGACCGGAGAGGACGTGGACACAACCGCTTACTTCAGAGCTCAACCACGTTGGTGTCATTGTGTCGTGTGTGGGGTTTGCGCGTGTGTATTTATACCTCGGATGTGTGAGTCATACATGCGCTAACATCGAGACCTAGGTGTGAGGATACTCCAAGATAAATATCCGTGTGAATGAGGGGGGAGTTGAGGATCCGCGCGGCTGGCGACGTGCTGCGAAAAGGGGAACCCTGTGTCGTAGGGTGGAGCGACCGGATTAAGGGGTGTGCGTAAACACGATTCGCAACATGCAGATGGAAAGTTTTAGTTCTATATACTGACAACTTGAAAATCAGGTGACATCGTGATGCAAATTAATTATTTTTTCTTGAGTTTGAAGTTAAAAAAAATCTTTTCTGCCAATCAGACATTTCTGCAAAAAGGAGTCCTCTTTAATTTGTCTAGTTGTGCACAAAGTTGCTCCATTTATATTCATTCAGTGATATTTAAAATCTGGTCACACGATTCTAGCGAAATCGCATCGCTTCTAGCATAATAGACCTGTGACACTGTTGGACTCGAAACCACTGATATACCGACCCTGGTATAGCAACATTACCCTATTGATGCGCGTTGTGTCCATAATTGTTCATTACCTTCAAATAACCAACACGATTTCAGATTTTTCCAAAGATATTTAAACACAATTAGACTGCAATGAAACTGTGCAATGCAAAGAAATCCCACTTTTCAACGGAATCAGAATTCGTCGCTTATTTAGTTGGAGAAACCGAGCTAGGTGACTTCAAACCCAAACATTGTTCACGTCAATTTTTAATCTCAAAACGGGCATGACTGATGCGAATTTCCACCTTAAAGAAGTTGGTTAGATTAATGCGCACAGGAAAGCAATGCATGTGAGCAGCATGTTTACCAAACAAGTGATTCCATGACGCCAGAGATTGGGCTAAGAAGACCGTAAAATAAAAATCACGCTTGTCTGGTTAGCGCCATTTCACACGAGGTATGTGGAAAGCAAGCAAAAGTAAAAAGTGATACTTCCACCAGGGTTAGTTGAATGGTAGTTGCGTAAACGTGGGAAATTCAGCACGGAATACCAGGAAGGAGGCTAATTTAGTTGGCAGTTCGTTGCGTTTACCAAGGAGCCGGTAAGAATGCACATCTTCCAGCATTCAGGACTGCATCTCTCCTCATTTATTAATGCCACCGCAGCGAAACCTCTGCGAAATGCAATTAATGTAAATACCCTTCAAATCTATCGCTTTCTCTGGTATTCAGAATTTCTCCATAGAAGACAATGCATTTTCAATACGTTTGTCTGTGAATTTCACTACTAGGTACTTGATTAGACAGTAATTGACAAACTGAGGACGATATATCTCGTCGAAATAGTCAAGCAGAACCTTTTTAAACAAATTGGTTGTGAGCGTTGCCACCCCTCACCCCCCGCACTTGCTTTGAAGCGCCATTATGGGAAATTTGTTTCAGCACAAAAAAGTAGGTGTGTAATTGTTCGTTTCTGCCGATTTTCGAGACAAACACGCCCACGCACAAACCGCTCACCTCCACTTGCTTGCAGCTTTGTACATTTTGCCCACCGCCCACGCATTAGTCATTCGGGGCAGTGTGACTTTGAACGCATCTCTTCGTTGCCCGCGCAGATTGATTCGTGTTGAACAGCCAATGAGCGCGAGAGTTCTATTTAGCCATTGTTGGGGCTTTGCCCAACCACCAAACGAAAGAACCGTATTCTGCATCAAAAGCGAGATGTCTGGTTAACAGGAGCAGTAAACAGGCAAACATCAAGTTTGTCTCGTGTCGACATTTCCTTCCGACACGAGACAAACTTGATTGGTTGATGGTGGCAATTGACTAACGCCCAGCCAATGAGTTAAATGACGTTCAATTTTGCAAAACTCGTTAGGCATAATTGGCGACTACGACCACTGAAATTGGATAGGCGCTATCCGAATCGCCGTTTATGGGTGCAATCAAGAGGAAAATTCCCACAGAACCTCACGTGCTTGACTGTTTGACCCATGGCAAACAAACACCACAGCTGGCATTTATCACGTGACAACAGGACGTTGAATTGACACAAAACGCGCTATTTTGTACAAAAAACATGCAAATCTACATTGTAGGGATCTTCTTGCGTTTAACATCAGGAGAAAAAACTCTAGGCTTGACTCCCCTCTTCTTCTACCCCGGCTACGACTACGAAACCAAACTCCAGCGCGCGCCAGTCAAAACGATTGCCATGCTGGGTAACCTCCTCGTCAGCACGTGCGTCGCCTACCTCATGCACCGCCTCTGGCTTGCCGGCAAGCTGAAGGGCAGGCTGGATTTCTTCCAGTGTATGAGACGCGAACCACGTCAGCCACAGACGATTGTGATTGGTGTGGACGAATCCGGCGCCTCTGGACACCTGACCAGTCAGGACAACGCATGCGAGCTCGAGGCTGTAGCGCCTCTGGGCGATGCACCGACCAACGGCAAACAGTGTGCAGAAGATGCACAACTAGACTAGAATTCATCTCCTTACTTCTAAACCCTCAGATTCATCGGTTGTGAAGAACAAGCATAGTGTTAGTGACATTCGAAGGTTGTGAAAACGTTGTTTTTTTTTTGAATTTGTCTATTTGTCTTTACATTGCGTGAAGGACTCCTTGTATTTGACACTCAACATTGTTGTCTTCCTTCGCATCGATTCTGTTTGTAATTAGATAAGACTTGCAGATTGCAATCAATAATAAACAAATTGAATTTACCCGCTTTTGTGACCAGAAACGTCTATTGGTTAGGACAGTATCTGTGCAACTCATTTCATATGGTCACATGAAGGTCTTCAACAACTGCTACGTCACCGTCAGCATAAGTTTAAACGGAGCGGGTGAGGGAAATAGGGGATTGTGCAATCAGTAGTGCAAATATTGGTTATCAAGGCATGTGTTTTGGTTTAATTCGACAAGAAGCAAATTAAATGTCACATCGAGGGAGGGGAATCCCGAGGCTGATCGTCTAGCAGCGTGGTGGAGATCGTCACAAGTAGTGTTTCTGGACGACTTCCGCAAACTTCTCCACAGCCTCCGCCATGTTCTCCAGGGTTTCATCCAAGTCGCGGGTATAATCAACGCAAAGGCCTTCCGAATAACCCGGGTGGCTCGCGTTCATCCTTTGCTCCACGTAGACGCGGGCCCATTGGAAGCGCTTTGCTAGTCCTAGGTCCTGAAGCGCACTCGCCAAAATAAACCCCATCAGCTCCTCGTCGTCGTCGCCGCCGCTGCCGCCACCTGCATTGCCTCCATCGGGTGCCTGGCGACCTCGAACACCATCTAGACTTTCATTTAGCAAGGCAACGAACATGCTGGTCATGATGAAAATCATGAAGACGGTGAAGAAGAAGAAGAATATTCTGCCAATCACCGGTTCCCGGTCGTAGAGTTCACTGAAGTCGAATGCACCCAGCACAAGCTGGAGGTTGGTTTCGGCAGAGATTAGGAGGTTCTTGAAGTCCTCCACGGTGAACCTCGATAGGAGGAAAAACGAGATCGCGAAGGCGCTGAAGACGATGGAGAAGATGGAGAAGAAGATCTTCAAATCGAGGCTGGCGTAGTTCAGGACCCGGAAGAGAAGGCCAATGGTGCGGTGGAAGCGAAAGACGTCCATGACGAGGAGGTTCGCGAAGAACACGACACCGGCCAGGAGGAAGTCGAGGACCCGACTGAGGCGCATTACGTACTGCAAGTTGGTGTAGCCGTTCCCATTGGATCGGTAGAACACCTTGGTCAATTCCTTCGTCTCCATGACGATGAAGGTGAAGACGGCGGCCGCCGCAATGGAACCGACGATTACGATCACCTTAACCCAAGTTCTCACCGACAGGAAATACGACCAACCATTTTTATACGCACTGTTGATAGTTGTGACAGTGAGATGAGTAAGCAGTACTATTGAGACTATCTGAAATTAAAAAAACAATAACTGATTGTTTGCGTCAGAATCTCAAATATTTAGTGCAATTTACAACCACTTTGACCATTATCTCATGGCTGAACACCAGCCGCTGTTCCGGCAGAAATGACTATGGTACGGGACCCAGTCGATAAAATTCAACCCTAACTACTTACAAGGAGGAGGAGGAGGAGGAGCAAGTAGGCACTACAAAAATGTCTCACTTTCCACAGCTGAAGAATAACATTCACCCCAGTGACCTGGAATGCCATCAGATTTGCTATCTGCACCTCGCACGACGGCGTGACAGCTCTATTCCCGGGCAGCTCGAACGCAATGAGCACTTCCGCAAACAATTGCGAGGCTGGATTGTAGACGGCAATTTCGATTAGCACGGCCCTCGTCAACGCATCGATCCACTTGAGTGATCGAAGACTTCTGATATCACTGATTAACGTTTTATCATCTCCGATAAATTTGTAGAGGTAGCCACCTCCATCGTAGGCATTGATTCTCCCCTGGTACACCAGGGAGTTGAGCGTGTCCTCTGCCGTATAGTTGAAGGCATATTCAAGTTTCTGGTATTCAGTTGCATCAAGTTGGGTTTGATCGGACCAGCCCCAACCAATAGGATGCCACGACATGTCCCTCCTTGACCTTGAGTACTGGCCAAAGCATCGTGGTGTGGTGGCTTTCAATTCAAGAGGCACACTGCATAACCCTGCACAAAGAAGACACTAATTACTCAAGTCGAAGGTAATCCACCTCCTCACACGTGATTGGCGAGGAGTAGAAGCCACTTGTTGTTTTAATTCATTTAAGTAGCACAGACTTACAAGGCAGTTTGGCTTACCCGGTTTTACTCGAATTTGACGCATCGTTGCATAGCCCATAATGCGGTTGGCACGATCATTAAGAAAACCAAATTGCCCAACCGGCGGGTCTCCGTTATACCACTTTCCAGCGTGAAGCGAACGAATAAAGTCCCTCTCTATCCAATCCCACACATCGTCCACAGATGTTATCTTTACCGAAAAAAAAACGAATGAAAATGGCAAATAGTACTACCAATTGATATCAGTAGTGATGTTGCAAAATAAAGATACTTCCCCCATTGGGCAAGTAAAGTGAATCATTCTAATTTTGGTTTTAACAGGCATGGCATGAATTTACGTCGAAAAAAGCCCAATTAACGAAGTGCGCCTTCAGGCTAGTCTTGATGGCGTCGCCGCCGTCAGCATGCACGTGGACAGCCACGATGAGGATCGAAGTGAGGAAGGCAAAGAGGAGGGCGAACTCGCACACGACGCGGAGCAGGCGCTTCCGTTTGGCGCGATGTGCACGCGCCACAGCGATCGCCACTTCATCCGGCGGCTTGATTAGGAATGCCCGTGGAGACACGAGGGTTGTTGCTGGCAATAAAAAGACGCGCCAAAGTCGTGACAAGTTGACACAACACACTTGGGTGGCCTTTGACACGGTGACGCGGTAGTTTACAGTGGGTTTGTGCGATGCCTACTTGAACAACGGTGATTAGATAAGTGTGCTAGCCAATGAATGATTGGCTGGACGCTGTAGTGACCAATGGCAGGGTGAGACGAAAGAAACCGGGCAATACAACAAGTAATAAGGAATTCACTTTTACATCATATTTTGGTCGATCGAAGCCACGTGAAAGAAAACGTGTATAAGCGCGAGAATCGATTGGGTAATCGAAAAACAGAGTGGACGTTCGGGTTAGCGAACACTCGATAGTCGAAATACCCTCAATTAGTTCGACGATTCAATCACTCACCTCTAGCTCACTTTGCAACTGGGCATAACAGGCCACCTGTCACGTGAAATTTCCGCGTGTCGTGAGAATTTCGCAATGTTAAAGATCATTTAAACACGCGAGTTGTTAGCTACAAAGTCATTAACCCACCTTCTTCCTTGTGCTTGCGTTCCTGCCCATGTTTCAGTTGATACCGGTGTTTAAGAGCACTGACCAGAGCAACGCCTTCTGCGGTTCGACCAATTGTCGTTTCGCAGCAATCGACATCACACCTCAAGGAATTCCACACCGCAATTAGAATTACCTACAACATTAACCGTCATTAGTATTTCGCCCTTCTCATCTTGTCCAGTGCAAATTGTTATAGGACCTTGATTCTGGCTAATTACTACTACTTGGTGCCAGCGTGGACCAATCAGAATGGCCTCAGATTAGCTGATCAATCAGGTGGGGACATGGAGCAGGGAGTTTGCACAGTGTCGTATCTGCTATTTTTAGTGGTGGCCTGCCTAGTAGCACCGCGTCGTTTTAAGCATTCACAATGTGCACGTTGACACGTCGACACGTCGACAACGAGAGTCGCATCAGTAAGTGTACACACACAAATCGACGTACTTTGATTGGTTGCAAAATTAAAAAGTCAATGGCGAATGAGCCAACAAGAGTTGCCAGCCAATGAGAACACGCCTCCGCGTTAAGAGCCAATCCCCACATGGCTGTAACCGTGGCTGCGGTGAAGATACAGGCGACTACGAAAATCCAAATGACGATGCGCATTTTGCAGGGGAATGTCCACTGGCTCAGAACACGACATGAGAACTTCTTCCAGTCGGAGGTGTCCTCGGTTTTTACGGAGGACGTTGTTCTGTCAAGAAAACACGAATTACTGGGGGTGCATCATCCACCAGAGTGACGGATTCAGCAGAAACGTGGTTCACAGACAGCCCATACTTGGATAGTCATTACCAATTACCGCGATCGATGAAGCATGACGTCTGTGTGAAGTCGATGCTAAGCTACGGTACTGCATCACTCACCCGACAGCCTCCTCGGATACCGGAGGGCCATCACCAGTGCCCTCTATACACCCATCTCCACTCGAGGCTTGCTGGATCTCATCCAGATCCTCATCCAGGAATTCCTCCACCGCGGATCGAACAAAGAACGCGTGGCCCAGGCGAGGTCGTACTTTGCGGAAACAAATTTCCACACAACCAACGGCCAATGCCGAGAGCAGCGTTTGCACAATTAGAGCCCTAATCTGTGGAAATAAGCAAGTTGTTTCGATTGACAGCTCTTTTCACGTGTTTTATGCCACTGAGTTCAAGATAAAGTGACTACTACTACTACGAGCAAATCAGTAGAGGTCCAACTTACTACACGGATGCTTGCGATGGACCTTGTAAGATCCATCCGATTTTTCAAAGTAAACGGTCCATCGCTGCGGTAAAACAGACACGAGATCAGCATGACGAAGTGCAAGAAGAGCAGACAGCAGCCCAATCGTTCCACACTTGAGAAGTTACTCGGAACACCTCGAAGCGTCACGGAGAGCCACAGGTGATTGTTGTACAAATCCTTGCGAAATCTCTTCTTAAAGCGATAACCGCATTTCAGATGGTTGGGGTTCCCGGCTGCCGGGATTACACGATCGAGCTGCAGGGATTTTCGATCAAACACGATAAATTGCCAATAACTACGTGGATTGTGGATTTAATCCAAAAGGGTTTAGTTCTCCATTTAGAGAATTCACGCAATTTCAGCCACTTCTTACGCAACCAAGAGGTAATTTTAGATTTCTACTGCCAACATCCACTTAAATGAAATCACCACACGATGAAGTGAAAGTAAAGAGGGGCCGGTAAACATTTGCTCAAAACCAACTCACACTTCCATCGTCCTCGTCCACACCGAACCACTTATTGACTGTGAAGAGGGATCGCTCGTTGGTTTGAAGATCGTCGACAGAGACGCGCTCGCAAAACCACGACGCCTGGTTGCCCTTGCCGCGATTGTTGTGCCACAACCGAATTGCCGTCAGCTTGCCTAAAGAACTGATCCAACAAAGGAGAACACTTCTATGCCTTTGAATTGGGTGTTTTACACTAGGAAGCTCTGAGTGGTCCCTACACTCCCTCGTACCGTATCGATTACTTGCTCTTGTCATATTTGCAATATCGATCTGATGTGTCTTCCACACTCATTTGTCAAACGCAACAATCCTATTGGTTAGGTCCAATTCAATGGCGGCTCATTCAAAACTGCCTTCAACCGCATCCTCGAACTTACCTGCTCGTCGCTAAGAGGAATCTGTTCACGTGGCGGGCTTGGAAGCCCTCGTGATTACCGTCGCCGCCGCCGCAGCCGCCGCCCACGAGAATTCGAGGCATAGTGTTGCCACGGTCACCAGACAACTGGAAGCACACGGTGGATTTGGTGCCGGCGAATGGCTGCGACCCGGTGGCGACCGCTACCTCGTAGAAGTACTCGTCCTCACAGTAATTATCCGCCAGAGGCACTACACAAAACTGCAAAATAACTTGTACTTATTCATCTTCAGTAAAACGGCTCAACAACTTGTGAGTGAAAAGACAGGCAACTCGCCTTCTCACATTCTGCAGCATCTTTTCTCGCGGCCCAAATGAAGGCTGCAAGGAAGACGATGATAAGGAACAGTTGAGTTGCGCAGACAGTGAAGTCGCGTTGGAAATCGGTCTTGGAAAAGGCGTAGGTGAAGTCCATCTCGTTCGTCAGGAACTTCCACTGGGTGGCGAATGACGTCAGGTGATTGCATTCGCAAAGCGTCTCCTCCGGAGTCGATGAAGGCAGAACCTGCAGGTTAAAACACAAGGCTCAGCGTTCCAGCGCGTGCAAAACATTGGTTGGTCTATTTGTCGCATTCAAATCGACCGCCCACGATCCCATTGGCTTACGCTTATTTCTGACACCTTCAATATACAAAAACTAGAAATGTTTCGTATCAGCTTGGTAAACACAAGACCTTCACCAGTTTACACATGCAAGTCACCAGAAGAGTGACTCGAGAAGGCACTCCTGGAGATTCCCGATTGGCTAATCCAAGTCACCTTGACATTTTAATGAACCAATTAAACTCAAGGGGTAATGTTGCTAGAATGTTCAGCTAACCGTGCAAGTCGTGTTTGCCCATTCGGCATCACCCACTGTGAAGTAGAGACATGCAGGCAAGGCAGCAGTCACGGCGGCTGTCACATTGATTTGGTCTGTAAATCGATAAGGCACTGGGGGTGATGTGTCCCCGTCGTACTGATTCAACTCGCCGAGGGTCAGCTGACGGTAGCCAATGTAAAAGGTGTTAACTTCGTCAATTCTCAAACGTTCATTCTTTGACCGCTCTACGGCGTCTGCCTTGAACTTGCTGAATGTCTTTGAGTCTATAAAGAGTCTGTAGATGCGCTGCAGCTCCTCTGCCGTTGAATTCGGGTCTTGGGAGTACCGAAAATGAAATAGAGGTAATTAATGCACCATTAAAAAATAACCACCACATCCTACTGACTACAAATCAGTAGCATGACGTCGTTTACCAAACTATTGTCGTACTTCAATATTACTAACGTTTAAAGTAGCCCATTATTGTAGACAAAGTGTGCAAAATTATTACTAATTCAAACAAATTACTCGTCCGTGCATAGAGGAAACTCAATAAAACCATTTGACACACACACACATGCTACTCACTGCATTTCAGCGTAGAGGAGGGAACCATGGCCCAGAAGAACGGTCCATTTTTGTCCGGGAATTCCAGAATCGGGGGATAAATATGCCTGCAGAAAATCAAACGCACGAATAAAATTGAATTGTCGCTCCGACTACATCATAAACCGGTCTAATGCAAATTAAATGAAAAATATGCACTACTTACAATTCATGAGTACTGCAAATTTTGCACGCTTAACATCGTTTCCCAACTCACCTGGCAACGACTAGATACTGCGGACAAGCAGTCATGTCTTTGGGTTTCATTTGAAATACGAAGTTGGTTTCGTCACGATCGATGACGTATTTGTACATTATCAAAACCTGGTAGATCAATGACCCGTCGACGGCCTTTTGCGGTGCGGGCAATTGAGGGTACAGCACGTCCGGCGACTCGTCAGGCCAACCACCATTGGTTGGAGTAGCCTGATTGAATGAACACAAAGGCGATCAATTAAAACGGGTTACTGCTAACCCAAATAACCTCACGTTCAACGGCATCTCTGATTGGTGCAGAACAGGACACCTCAAATTGTCGTTAGTGCTTACATGCTCGGCTTCTGCAAGGCTACAAATCTTATTTTGCTTCGTCCTCACGCGCTTTTCATTGGTTAATCGAAGGCCAATTAAATTCACATCACAAACTCGAAAACGGCTAATTGAAATGTCATGGACACCACAATAAAGCACTGGTGCTTGCCTGTTTGATGTTGATAATGAAGGGAGATTCGACATCCGCCAACTCTAATCTCACGCCTTGTGAGTAGAGCGTGAGTGAGACGACTTCTGATTGGTTGGGTTCATTGGGGTAGACATTGAGGAATTCAAAGAAATTTCGCTTCATCAGGCCAGACTGCAATCGTTCAAACAAAAACACCACTTTTTAGCGTGAGTTGACGGTTTTCTAGAGAGAGGCGGCTTCTTCAAATACATCACACAAAAACGCCACTTGGTGATGAGAAATTGGCGGGTACATGTTCAGCTGTTGTATTTGGTAATTGTCAGTAATTTCCGTGTAAAATGGTAGCTTATGAATGCCCAGTTCCTTATATCTACTTCTACATCTGTCAAACAACGCGTCAGCCAATCAAATTTCACGACCTCTGCGATGACCTAGGACATCGATTTTTGGTGACACCTTGGTCTCTGTCGGGTGCTGGTGAACTCTTAATCTGTTTGTGTTCCACCACTTGTGTGCCAAAGTCAAACTGCGCCGATCAGACTTGGTGGCGACGGCGGCGGCGGTGGCAGAACATCCAAAATGACCGATGCAGCAATGCAAGTAAACGAAAAGAGCTTGCCATGACGACAACATCCTCGTAGGGCAGCAGTTGGCCAGTCAAGTCGGGTATCGAAATGTCTGTCGCGCCACAGGGGAGCTTCGCCATGGCAACAGCGCTCGTCTGCACGCGGAAGTAGCACATGGCACCCACGTCGTCGACATTAAACTCAACCGGTTGACCCTGTGGCACCAGGAGGCTTTGAAGCGATCCAGCCAATGCGCTGTAAATGTTCTCCAGCGTTTTGGAAATCTCAGTCCCCTGCGAGGCAAATGCCTGAAGGTCAGCTCTCTAGCCAATCAGCGATGCCTGGTCTGAAGGACAACTTATGCACCGCAAACTGAAGTGACTGCGGCTTTGAAGGAACCCACAAACCTTGCATTACTCCGATGCAGCTAATTTGAACAGTTTTTGTGGTGTTACGGACTGACAAGTCTAGACAAACAAGCGTCTTTGCTATACTCGAGTTCAACCACTTCTTGTTTCCATGCGCCAAGACAAATTGCTCGCGTGCTCGCCCGCAAATAACAAATGTAGGAATTGGTGTGGCTCACAGTAACTAACAGAAGCCCGTGCTTCATTGTTTAAATCAGGATGACAGTTTTATCTAATGACACGTCCTCCATCTTGGCAACCACTTGACACACTCAATTCTGGCATCAAATCATTTTGTTTTAATCACAGTTAGCCCTGTGAGTTGACTTCAATTGTCGCATTATTCAAATTCGCGGTAACTTTTGCCGTAATTTTCATTGGTGCAATTTAACCTGCGATCGCTCCAGCGCAGTTTACATAGTCCACAAAGAACCTTACCGTCTCTCTTTGTAATCTTCTGATCGCAAATTTGAGAAATTCACCGGCATCGTCGATGGCTGTTTAATTAAACAGAGAAAAACATGAGTTGAAAATGGAGTCGAGTGTTGTGCAATTATGAAAACCGGTGCATTTCTAGTAGTTGTGGCCAGTCGTCCTGCTACAGCGACTAGCACAGGCGTGGTTTTAACTCGGACTACCAAACAAAACTACTTGCACTCTTCATCGATGTCCGTGCTGTAATCGAATTCCGACAGATCAGTAGACAGGAGGCTAGGAGTCGGGTTATGCAGTTGAGAGTCGAGTCCCTACAAAGAGATCGGAAACAGGGCTTGCTCGATCGTGACCAGTGGAGTATCCAGGACACGGTGTGGGCGTGTGTGTGTGTGTGCTGGTGACGGGCAAATCTCCACAGGTTATTTCCTTACCTTGAGGAGGTGGAGAGCAAGGCTTGTGAGTCTCTGACCAACGCGGATCACGTCGTCGCGTGGAAATTGAGCCAGGAAATAGGGCAGGGGTTCGGCGAATCTTGCCAGAAATTGCCACAGGATTTTCGTCGTTGGGTAGGGCATTTCCGCAGAGTTCGACGCGATGGCGTCGAGGATGGACGCGGTTTGGAGGAGGTAGGTGCTGTCTTCAGGCGGCACGTAGTCCAGCGACGCAACCAGAAGCTCCAGTAGCTGCAAAGGCGTGAAACTCCACTCTCTGCGTTTACTTTCGTGACAAATCTATAATGCTTACATGGGTGTTCTGGCTGGTAGGTTTTAATTGGATGAAACACGAACTCCATGACCTTCAAATCAACGCGGAATGAAGTTATTGCTTCAATTTAAGTTAGCCTTGACCTAAATTGTCCTTTCCTTCTGAATATCGATCGACAGCGCATTCCACGTGAATACTATGCTCAGAGATACTCTGACTGGCGTGTGATCTCTCTGTCGATCCAACCTCCGCAAAAACCAGAAACACGAACTGTTATATGAAGGCGAAAACACGTACACGTCAAAAAATGAACACCTGACATTTGAAATGCCCACTTACTTTGGCTCTGGTGTTCCTCTTGTGGTCTCTTAATTCGGGCGAATCTAAACGAAAGTAATCGATCTTTCATTTTCGACCAATCACACTCCTGGATTTCCGCTAGTGTCTAGTACACACTTTTCCCAATTCACCAGGGCTTAAGTCCTACTGACAGTGACGTCATGCATTTCACTAGTATATGTTATGTTGAATTTGTGAGATGTCAGTAGGATTGGTCAGCCAATAGACGCCCTAGCATTGCATCGGGTCTTATCCAATCAGAAAGCAGTAACAAATTATGAGATTTTCTTGTACATTTCTGCAAGCAATTGTTCTGCTATTGTAGTTTCTTATTAAATGTCCAAAACAACGCTACATACCCTGTTCAGAATCTGACAAAATTGACTGTTTCATGGTCGCAGAAATCGACTGGATGGCGGCAGCTATCTTGCTGGGATCCTTCGACGCGACGGCATCGTCAAGGAGGGGGTTCTTTCTGGAAACTAGGTCTTCTACTTCCCGTTGCAATTCTTCTGGAGTTCTCGGTATAAACTGCAAACATTTACGATGTCAACATTTTGGCATAAAAAGGAATACACAGAGTCAAAAATCCGCCTCAGCTTACACGGAACGAATTGAAACACATGTCAACCACAAGAGTGGAGTCAGGGAGGTCACGGATACAGGTTCGCATCTCCTCATCCCTTGCCGGCAATGTGGTGCAAAATTTCGGTGTGGTAAAGACGAAGATTGTCCTGTCCCCATCTGCGGATTTTTCTATCGGGACACATAAATGAAACGTACATCTACTGAAATGCGCTCAGTAGCAATGTGTTTGTGGGCTATGGAGTGAGGCACTAACCATAATACTCATACCGTGCATTTGCATCATGCTGCGCGCACGTAATGCACACGGTCTGGCCGGCTTCTATCCAATCAGAGGCGTTCAAAGAGCATTGGTTCCAGGCAATCTGTTCCCGGAATTCAAAGTCCTCACAGACCTGCTGTCCACTTTGAAAGTGTTTCTGTGTGAGGCAAACTTTCAGTTCAGTCATTCCCGGCATTTCAGAGAGGATATCCGTCGAAATTATTAGTGTAGAGGTCTTCCAACCTAGACATAAAAAGACAGCCTCTTCGCTATCGCGTCATCTTGATTCTAATACGCAACCATCGCACGGTCATTTGATTGTACTACTTAAATCTATTTCAGAGGCGGGCTAAAGAACTAATCCAGTTCTCGCTTTCACCAGGTGGTCGAATAATACCTTCAGTGTAACTCGCGACTTCCTGCTCTGTGAGTAACCAGCTGGAAGCGTTCGGGAAGGTCCATTCGAGGGACCACAGATATGCCTCTTCGTTGAGGCAGTCAGTGCCACGGCAGCAGCCACTCAACACCACCTCTTCGCGTTGATTCAAATACGCCCTCCCGGAGGTCTGGCGGGGACGCACGAGTCTGCGGGTATAAAAAAAATCAATATACACTAGCATATAAGTTCGGTGAGGTCAAATCTAATCCCATTCTCAAAGGAAATCTGTGGTCGACGATATCAACGCGCCCCCGCTTGCCTCTGGAACCACACGTTTGAGTGTGTGGCGAGCAGCAAGCCAGCACAACTAGCAGTCGTGAGCGAACACTAATCAATCGATTTTTTTACCGTGAATGCACCGTGTAATGTAGAGACAGCCACCGCGCGCGGGTGATGCGTGTAGGCTTGCCCGACTGTATCGATGACTCACCCTATTTGTTACTGATTTTTTGTTATCAGTCGCCAGATCTAATTAACCCAACTCACCGATAAACCGAGATCTAGCACAAGCGGTCACCCCTTTAAGGCCCGAGCACGCCGACTCTCTCCAACCCGATACTCAACTGCCAAGCAGGAATTCGAACACATGTTGCAGCTTGGCATAGTCCGACGATCAAACAGTGATTGGTCATCCGCGCTGCACATGGTTCCCAAGAAAGCTGTCGGTGAATAGCGGATATGTGATGATTATCGTGCCTTAAACGCAATATCAATTCCTGATCGCTACCCAATACCAAATCTGCATGATTTTTCTTCGAATCTACACCAGATCGAGGAAATCAGTTGAAATCAAGCGTTTTCCAATGTCGCACTCGACTTCTGGGGACGATCCGTATTAAAGAGCGGCCGCCTGCCACCCTTAGGCAAATGGCTTGGTAAAACATTTTCACCGGCAACTGAAAGCTGCTTTACCCATCTCGTTGGTCTGATGTGTTCCACCTCGTGCTTCTCGGTATTGGATCAGCCGTTAAAGAACACTTGGGTTGTTCGTCTGCAGAAATGGTTTTCGGTACAACATTGAGAATCCCTGGGCTATTTTTCACGGCAACATCCCCTCCGTTATGGCCGGACACAAGCAGCTACGTTGGTGATTTGAGGAAGGCAATGAACATACTGAAATCAACTCTATCCCCTTCATCTCCCACAACACGCCCCATCCCAAGAACACTGTCCTCTTGCACTCATGTTTTCATCAGGCACGATGCCATTCGTCGTCCACTCCAACACAACTGCGATGGACCTTTCAGAATACTCAGAGGAGAAGAAAATGTTTTCATCGTCGATCGAAATGGAAAAGAAGACGCCATGTCTGTTGACCACATCAAACCAGTATTCCTCGACGCGAAGACGCCACCAAGCAACACACCCGAGGCGCAGACAACTTCCATCCCTTCTGTCAATGTAGAAATGGTCTGTTTCAAACCCGATTTTTCAAATCTCGCTTGGTTTACCGCGCTTTCCTTTCAATTTCGCGTAACTCGCTTCGGTTCTCAACTTCCAGGTTCCAAAATTTCCCAGCACACCACGAGTCGACTGCACAGTACTCACGACCCACCCGTGAAAATTCCGCTTGGAAGAAAATATTCGCCAATTCCTTTCACCAAAAGGGCAGAGCTGTGGCGAGCAGCAGCAGGAAGCGGGCACTGCTTGCAGGCAGCAAGCGTGAGCGAACACGATTCAATCGATTTTCGTGAATGCGCTTCACGCAGCTACGTGCGTTCACTGATCGATACAAAGCGAAGCCGTGCACACATACACACACACACACAGGAAATAATTACACTACTTGACTTGACTGGCGTGACGCTAATAAACGGTCATCTTCTCTATCACCCCCTTGTCTTCTCTCGTCTCGGGTTGTGGCCGGCTCTAAACTACAGGGCTGTATGGTGGTGCTAAACTCGGCCGCCACTTATTTTCGTTCACTTGCAGTCGTTGACTCTGGAACCACCGATTCGAGAAAAGTGATTTTGCAAAGTAAAACCCGAGTTCAGACCTTCAACTCACCCAATCGACAGTTTCACCGTGACCTCCTGCATCAGGGTGATCTTGTGTGTGCGGCTCGCAATCGACGTGGAGTCGTTGGCGAAAATGGTGGCCTTGTACAACTCATTCATTCTCAACTCTGATTGGGGAATGCAAAGGTCACCGTTCTTGCCTTCCACGCTGAATGTTCTGTCCTGTGAAGTCCACGAAACGTCCGCGTAGAATGACCAGTCAGTCTGAAAGAATTTCGCAGGGGAAAGTCATTCCAACTGTGAAAACTATGCAACTAAGGTATGTCAACGATTAAGAAATCTTTAATAAAATATTTGAAAACCCCATCTAATCCGTCATTTTGTTGGTTAGAGCAGTCCACAAGACAACCTTTACAGGAATTCGGAAGCCGTCAAAAATCGGTAATAATGCATGATTGAGACCTCATCATCCCTACTGGCTGCTCTTGTTGAATAAAGGTGGAGCCGACCTCGTGGTTTTGTCACCTTTTTCGGGAATCCATACTGCCTACTTCCACAAATTTGAAGAATCAACTCAAATCGGGTGATTGGTCAATCTTGTTAGGCTTACCTCAGTGTCCTTGACCAGAAACGGTTCCGATGCTGGTTTGGGAGCAAGACAGGCGTCTTGGTTGTGCCATTTCACCACGTGACTGGTGCCGACTTCTTGAAAAATGCTGAAACGAAGATTAACCTGATTCGTCGAGGGAGTTGGCCAGTCGTCCAACGGCGAAGGCAAGGCGTGTCGAGGATGCGTGCTGCAGGCTGCAGCGCTTGCCGCAGCGTCGGGCATTTCGAAGCCAAAGCTAGCTTGCGCGCTGTTGATGAAGCCGTTCACGTACGCCAACAACTCATACCTTCCTGGCTAATGAAGGGGTCGTGAGTTCACTCGACGCACCAATCATACTTACCTCAACGTCCGGCACATAGTAGTAAACATCGAGGACCGATTTCGTACTCAGCACAATCGAGTAGTCGCTGAGGCGTCTAAGGACCCAGTCGATGTTCTTGACGTTGCCCCTCAGAACAATCAATTGAAACGCCCAGCGGTGTTCGTTGGGCAGGAGGTCAAAGTGACGACCGCATCCAGTCGTGAAGTGGTCCGACTCGTACATCAAACCTGCTATCCCACTAATCTGAAGGGCTGGTGTGGACGTCAGTGTTGCCGTCTACAATTGACAATCGATTTCCACTGTGGCAAAGTACATCTTTGCATTGAAGTTTGACCTCTTTTGCCAATCGATATTGAGAATGACAATTATTGATTACTTTGAGTTCGATAGGTGTTTACTTTCTCGTGTATTTACTGTCAGTGGAATAGTACTGGCACAAGACCCTCCAACTTGTGCTTCAGCCTGTTCGAGGTCTGGAATTAAAATTCACTACGACTGCAGCACAATTTGAAAAAATCAGTCACAAGGCTGCCTGAGTGAGCCTGTGTGCGTGCGTACCTCAGAGTAAGGTATCCAGATGTGATTGCCTGCTTCGAGGGTGCAGTCGTACTGGCCAAGTGGTGGGAGCCGGAGTTCGAAATGTCCAGTGCTTGGGTCGACGTTGACATGCCTGACAGTAACCTTCTCGGTCTTGTAATGCCGGCACGCAGCCTTCAGGAAGAATCCGAATGGGAGTGGCAGGTGTCCCGAGTAGTTGGTTATGTTCACGTCACCGGTAAAGTTGCCTAAATTACCACGTTAAATTCACGATGACCTTGAGTGCACCAATGAACTCTAGCCACGTCATTGTGAGGGATATTGTGATTGGTGAGTTCATCTACCTCATCTTGCAACACAAATTGCCATCTTGGATTGCCGTTGCATAATCATTTCACAAGCAAACAAGGGCAATTAGACACGTAAATGGTTGGTTGGCGTCATCGACTCACCGCAACATTCAAGAAATGTTTTTGCGAAGGATAGCTTCACATCGAAACCAGTCGCTTGAGCTAGCAAAGTGACTGAGTGCGACAGCGAAAAGCGAGTATTGAATGCGTTGAGGAGGTATTTGAAGGTACCTTCCGTTGGGAGAGACACCAGACCTGAGATTGTCTTCTCGACTAGAAGCAAAAGAGGCGTTTATAGATGTTGGTCTCTGTTCTTTCCACGAACGGGCTATTATAACCAAGTAAAAGAGTGTTGTGGAGCGCGTTGATCAACACTCGCTACTAATAACACACTTCAGCCTCCGCCGACACAGGATCTCCATTTCGCAGCATGTCCCAACCCCATTAGAGCGGACGATTATACCAGATTATCCGACCACTTTGGGCTCGATGTTAGCTCATCAATGTTGGCTTGTAGTGGATTGACAACTCTACCCTGCGTGAGTGTGCGTGCATGAGGACCCAAGTGGACCAATGACTCACCCCTTTTGTTATTGGCCCCTGTCAACATTCGCCTGTTACGCACGCCTACTCATACGCTCACAATGCCACTTGGCTGGTGTGACACTAATAAACGGTCGTGTTCTCTGCCGCCTCCTGTTTCCCCCTTTCCTCGGGTAGTTACGGGCTGTTAGCTAGAGGATTGTAAGGTAGTGCTAAACCCCTAGTCGCTACATTTGGTGAACCCGACATGGTGAAA